TGACGTGGCGCACCTAACTAACACACTAACTAACACACTCAATCCTTACCTACAAGCACACGGATTGCTGACGTGGTACTGTCAACTAACACATCCACTTCGTACCTACCAAGTGTGCGGATCGTTGACGTGGCAGCTATGACTAGTGCACACTAAAGTATCTACATCAATATTTAGAGTAACCTCTACTTTAGTTCTAACTAACTAAAGATGGTTACAATCGATACGGGACGGATGGTTCGTGATTCAAATCCATAAAACATTCAGTATATAATGTATATGGTACAATCCCAGGTCTCTCCATAACTAACAATTGGTAGAATTAGTGGCACTCTCGACTCCATCACTCTAATCTTAAAATCTACACTCCAACAAGCCACAAAGTACATCCAAAAATGATCATTCTCCATGCAACAAAGGTGAATATCGAATAGCTTATGAATTGGCCACTGCGGTACTGGATTCTTGTCAAGCCCGTCCATATCTGCAAAACCACAATTTCCCGCTTCCACCTCTCTCTACATGCAGATCAATGACCTCTGCCAGCCTCTATACACTCTCAAAACTGCACTCCATCATCACTCACTTGTTATTCCATGAGAAGTAAAGAAAGAGCAAGGTTGCTCTGATACTATTGTAACACTAGGGTTTAAAGAGAAGTTCATTCCAAAATAGAAACGTAAACTCTGAACATGAGAGATACCAACAATGCTTCTACTTTCCTTTATATAACTCTTACCAACAAGTATAATGAGATAAAATCTGTCCCTACCATCCATCCCACTCCTAGTGGATGGATGACGTGGAGGATAACTCTAACAAGCACACGAATCGCTAATGTGGTGCTCCCAACTAACACACTCAATCCTTACTTACAAGCATACGAATTGCTGACGTGACATTGTCAACTTACACATCCACTCTCTATCTACCAAGCGCGCGGATCGCTGATGTGGCAGCTATGACTAGTGCACGTTAAAGTTTCTATATCAACATTTAGAGTAACCTCTACTTTAGTTTTAACTAACTAAAGATGGTTGCAATATATCATTAGGTGTGGCTTAAAGAACGGTTAGTTCTTCGAGTTGAACCTTCAACGTTGAGAGATAATCTGTTTGTGAGTAACATCTAGATATCGAGATTTTCATTAGCATCGGCCTGCATTTTCCTAGTAGTGGAAGAACATTGGCTCGACTGTTTGTGATCTTGCATTTTGTGTAAATGACAATATGTAGTTCACGAATTTTTAGTTGAGGTATATTTTTTTTGTGTATGTTTTTGTCTATGATTTGTGTGTATGTATGTATGGTGTGTTAGCGATGTATGTTGTATGACAATGTGTATTTGTACAACATAAATTATCCCAATCAATCCATCAAGTTAACTGCTAATGCGTCAGATACAACAGTGGATGACATATTTCAACAAGAATGAAAGTATGAACGTCATTTAGTTGATTTGTATAATTAAATATTGATGACAACGTAATAAAATTAGCACACAATAGAATAAGAAAAATTAAATATTATGCTAGCAACAAAACAATGGAAGCTTTATTTAGATGATAAACAGTTTGTGGTGAAGACCAATTATAAATCATTGGTTTATTTAGAAATTTAGAAGTAGTTGTTTGAACGACACATTAGATGATCAAAATGATATCAATGTTTGAACATGAACATTGTGCACATGGAAGACAAAAAACAACTTGTGGATCTTTCACACATATGTCATGTTGCTAGGGTTGGAGTCACAGCCTCAAAGGGCATTCCCAAGGGCGAGGGCACAGGGGTTCTTCCATACAACCATGCCTATATGTACAAAGAAATTAATACGTATTTTCTGGAACTTTTCAACAATATTACTTCTAAAAATGTTTATTTCATAGATGTACATTTTCAAATAAGTCAAATGTACGTATTTCAACACGGGCATGCCTTTTGACCGTGAAATGGAGCATAGGCATGCCTCAAAATATTTGGCTGTGCCTCCAACCCTACATGTTGCAGAGATGAAAGTTAAAGCATATAGGTGTAGCAAGATGATACATATCACAAAGTAGCATCAAAAAAAAATTAGCAACAATTTATCATAGTCAATGTGATGATCAAACGGAGAGAGACAATTAAATTTTGAGGGTGTGTCATGAACATTCACATTAGACGTGCAACAAGAGTAAAATATTCTATTAACTCTGGTAAAATCTACTTATAACAATTTTTCGGAGATCTATTGTACTATAATTCTTGAGATCATGGCGGACTTCAAGGGAGAAAACATGTTCTTCCCATCATCGTCATCGGGAGATTAACTTTGATTCTTAGTGTAGTCGCTGCCGGGACTAATTGTCAAGCAAGATGTTGTGGAGGGATGATGCAAGGTATCTTTTCGAACTGGACGGTGTCGATTAGTTCTTGTACTATGATGCACTGAACTCATGAAGAGCATGGTTGTAGCCAATTTTGAGGAGTATCTCATGTTTGCGATGGCACCATTCAGTTCTATATCCGTCTGAATTTCATTAGCCCAGACTGAAATATGTTTTAGGTATGTCATCAGAATCTACTTCCTTTACTTCTTAATTTGCCAAAGCTTGCTTGGAAAGCCTTAGAGTTACCGAAGAATGAGAAGTATAGTTTCAAAGAGTATCATACTTATGAGTTTTTACATTATCTTAGCCATCGAGTTTCATACTCTTCCAATTTGATGCTATTCCCATTACTTTTACATTGTGATTATTATTAATAGGTATCCATGGAAACTTAGTTCTCATGATTCTTTCCCACCTCTCCAAACAAGCCAACTTGCAGAATATTTAGAATGAAGGGAGCAGCGCTGAGAGTGAGGCCATGGTGGGATCGTATAAAAAACATTAGATGCATATGTAAGAAGACCAGTCTAAGAGAGATAAAAATATCGATTCAGCCTGATGTTGCGGCATGTCTTCAATTGGAGATTACACGATGAACGGAGTGGGACGTTCCATTTGTGCTAACCCAAACGGGCAATTGGAGCCGTTGTACATCCCTGACTACGACAGCAACCAATCAGTAATGCCGAGACATGCTTACTACTTTACACTCAGTTTCAAAGTCCTAAATAAGAAGAGCACCAGAGAGACAAGGAATCTGAAATTCGCCAGGAGATGAGTCATTTTCTGCCACTGTCACCAACACTTCACACCAATCACCATACCGTCATTGCTACAATCACTTCGTAGAACCTGATCAGGAGGAGGGTGAATTTGTTGAAGGTTCTCAGAAGTGAAGTCTGAGTTATATCTCTTCATCTGAAAATTCCTAATGTTTTCTCATTACGCTGCTTCATATTCAATGATTAAAAGTTTATGTGGATTGAATGACTCCAATGGATGCTTGATTCTCAGCCGGCAATTCAACCTTGTGAATAGCTATGCATAAAGTCCAATAGTTAGTTATTCGTCTCGTATACATGAAAGCATCATTGTGGAGCAACTCCGCGGTCGAAGAATTATGAACAAAGTCCACAGCACAGCTTGAAAAGGTTAAGCTTTTGGAAAAGATCGATGATGCGATCGAAGATCGACGTTCCATTTGTGCTAATGCAAATGCATCATTTGTTTAGCACGATGATCCATTCGACAGTTTCGGAAAGCTTCGGCTCGATGACTATATATCGAGACAAACGTCTCGATATATAGTCAAAGGAAGCTAACGAAGGATCAAGGGAGCTGGAAATCTTGTCCAGAAACCTCTCGAGGTAGAGTGCATATGTAGAAGCAATAATGAATTTTACCATAGTGAATCTGTTTCTCGTCTCGTTATACTAGTTTATTTTACTTGACTTCAGTCAAATAAAGCGTGACGAATCGAGTTTGCATATTTTTCTAGGAGAAGCATGTGAGTGACGGCTTAGTCCAATCGATCGTAAACAAACAAAGACGCAGTTGATTCTATCGAGGGCTCTCTTGTAGCAAGCAGTAACTTGATATTCAGATTCATGGATGGTAAGATGGGCACATGAGGAGTTTTGATTCTGAGAACGGTCGAGAAGTGGTCTTGGAGATTTAGTAATTTTCCTCACTTCGTGTATGCTGGAGTATGTGGATACAATTTATCCATCCCTTGCAGCTTCCAATGCTCCATCATCGGCAAAGTTTGTGATCACTAGAACTTACTGCCAGATGAACAAATTTAAGTAAAAGGGGGAATGAGTTTTAACAAATTTGTTCTAAACATCTCCATTTAATGTCATCGGTGTGAGTATGTACTGTTTCGTCTGTGTTGAGTATATGGAACGACGACTGTTGTCATTCGTCGTTGACTGCATTTTCACTTCGCTAAAGCTGCAGGCATTCATTCAGGTGAGAAGCATCATACGTGTATCATTGATGGAGTAAGTACATGGTAGTTGATTGAAGCAGGTGTCAGTCAGCATTTGAAGGCAGAACTGTGAATTATCTTTCGCATCAGGGACTTGATTCGAGGTCAATCCGTGTAGAGCTGCAAAAAGATAATTTTGTCTTCTAAGAGAAAGATTTCAGAGCATGGATCATACGAGCAATGCAATGTTAAACAAAACCGAACGATGAAATGTGTTTTCCACTTCAATATGTATTTCCTTACTTATCAATTGTTTACAATCAAGTTGTAACACTACTCTATGCCTGCAATGTGCGGGCAACTTGTCGTAGCCAACACAAATCTCCTGCTACATCTGTCAACAATTCCAGTTTGACATGTTCTGGTATGGCGCACAGCCATGTTATCTGCAAGATCGTGGCAACAACAATCTCCTAAACTAAAGTTGAATGTGGTAACAAGCTAAGCTCCGTGATATCGCTACAATCGGATGCCCTTTCCTGACGCAGTAAAGTTTCGGTTATTCGACCGTGAGCACAGAAGTTTTGGCTCTCGGGTCGATTTGTAAAATTCAACCTGATTAGTGGCCAAATGCCTCCCCGTATCCTGATCTGGAAGGCCCTGGCCATGGCCCGAGGGCCTCATTTACACCTCCCTGGTTTACATGAATCGAGCTGCCAAAAACCCGGTGACGGCCACGAAGAAGCTGGCGACAATGGATCCGGGGAGGAGCCCATCTGCTCCTGATGCCGGTGCAGGACCTGGTGCAGGGGCGTGAGCATGACCTTCATGTGCGAGTGCCACTCCAGCGCTGGAGATGACAACAGCTACGACGAGAGCCGAGGTGACAGCTGATCGCATGATGGAGGCCATCTTAGAATGCGATGAAGGCAAGGGACTCAACAAATTCGGTTGAAATGCAGGCTGAAATAAGGTGATCGCTTTGTATAAGGATGAGTTCTGAAGACTTGCCCCAATCGAGAACAGAGTCAGAAGCTGGTGAAGATAGATGAGGAAGAAGAGAAGATATGACTCTGGCTCGATTGAGGAAGCAGATTGAGAGGAGAGGAGAGGAGAGGAGAGCGGAAGTGTTGAAGGTTCATTCTCGCATGGCCGTCATATAGCCTTCTAAAGTTGGTCTTCCCATCGGGAATTACGTCCAGAGCACATGGAGGGCACTAAAATTGTCACCTGGATACTTTCCTTCTACAGCAAGTGCTGAACCACCACTGTACTTCATCGGACTGTTCAAAACAGTCCGATGGAGGTTCCAATTTTGACTGTGAATCGTCATGAAAACCCTGTCCACACAAATGGCGGGACTGTCGTGAAAGGCTGTCGGTCGTCCAGTCAAATGAAGAAGCTGATTATAGGCTGGAGTGACGTGACATTTGCACGCACGCAGCACTGGTGCACATCACTGCTTTCATATGTCGTGAGCTTACCCCTCAGTATTACCTTTCTCGAGTAGCGTTGATAGAACCGCAACATCTGGACACTCAACAGTGAGCAATCAAATTACTTGTACCTCCCAGACTCAGCTGTTTCCAACGAGTATCGATCAATCGAAGTCAACTAAACCGCCGATCATCTCTGAGGATGGACTCGGTGTCATTTCCAGGTCAACCCCCAACAGGATCCAGTGCCCACGAAGTTCACTCCAGGCCTGTCATGATCATGAGGCCCCTGATGGGACAAGAAATGTTCGCCCACAGTAAAATCTATTAGGGACCGCTCTGCGTCCAGTGGTGCCTGAATATAGATGGACCCCGGGAGAAGAATGCTGTTTGTTGTTGTCCAGCCAGCAGAAATTCGAGCTATACTGTAGTCCCTCTGATCGTGAGAGGCTTATGGTCGACACATGTTCTAGTTCCAGCACTGTGAAACGAGCCTGCTCTGAGGAGCTGTCATGAGACAGATCAGAGCTGTAGATTCGCAGTCCGCGATCCCGCAAATCTAAAAGTGGAGTTCGCCTCAAGCAGCGCAGTCAAATCAGGTGTCTGAAAGTAGAGTTGATGCTGCAAACCAGGAGAGAGCACACAGACTGAAGGAACTGCTTTCCTACTGCGAGAATCAAAATTGACAATGACGTGTGAGCTGTTTACTCAGGGCTGGATGTAAAGTGATCCCTCTCGCCATCGTGGGTTGTCCGATGTGCGCTGAGATCCGAGATCTGCGAGCTGCGAGCTGCGAGCTCCAGGGAGCAGAAGGTGCATGCTCATTGCCACCATGGGCTCGACTGGCAAGGCCCATGGCAGTGACATGCCGTCCTGGTATCAGGTCCAGCAAGGGCTTCGGGACTGAGCTACTGTATCTGCTACCTCGGCCACAAGGCAGAGGTTCTGCCATACGAGCTGATTCGTTTGCTCTTCCACATCCCCCGCAGCATTCGTAGCTCGGTGACGGTGGAGCTTCTCGAGTCTCTATATATGTCCCTGATATGGGCCTGGAACATCAACCAACTTCACTTGCAACTCTTCTGCTTCCTCTTACGAGTCAGAGTCGATCGCTTGCTCTTCCAATTCCCTCGATCCTTTGATTGACTCTGCTCGTTCGAGGCCAGTGATCTCTCTGCTCTCGTCTACATTTCCGAACTCTCTCCTCAGCTATTGCACTCATCTAGTCTAGTAGACTACACAAGGTCAGCGGGCTCGACGCTCAATAATTCTTCGTATCTTCAAGCAACATCGTCTGGATTCAGTTGCGTCTTCAGGACTCGTGATGGCTTCCACCATGCGTTCAGCCGCTGCCTCCGCTTTGATCGCCGCCGTCGCCATCTCCAGTGTCGGAGTGGCTTTGGCACACGGTGATCACGCTCATGCCCCAGCACCAGGCCCTGCATCAACCTCAGCGGCTGCTGGGTTTCTACCCGGCTCCATCTTCACCAGCCTCGTCGTCACCATCACTGGATTCATTGCCGCCAGGTGCCTCTGAGAATGCACATGCCATGGCTGCTGATATAGACAAAAAGTGGAGGAGTCCAATTCTACTGGGGATTTATCCAAGGGCTCCCTGCTGGAACTCGAGCCGTCAACTTCGTCTCGTCTGATGCAGTTGAAAGAACTTCTCGACGCGACATAAGTCAGAACTTCGTGACTTCACAAGCACATAGCTAACTTCAGAAAGTCTAACTTCCACCATCTCCAAGTAGACGATGACTTTCGCATCGATCCATCATCATAATGCCAGAACGGAGAGCTGGGGGTGTGTAGAGATTAACGAACATCGGCATTTGTATTCTGCACTTAGGTGGTGCTCTGAATTCCGCCTACTTTTGAAATAAGACATTTTCTTCTCTGATTAAGCCTCGAGTGGATTCTATCTCAGTTGACCAATTCGAGACCATGACTCGCTCAACTTGTTTCACCTCGCTCGACCTCCGATTGTTTGTCCTAACTAAAAACCTCTGAAACAACTTCATCGATCTTTTAATTGAGATCTTCATCTTTCTGGCTAAGAGTATTTTGGATTTCACTTTTTCGAAAGAACTATGCTTTGCTGTGACTTAACTCAACTCAAGTTCAGGTGGCAACAATCGTGAACAGAATGTCTGTCTCAAGGACGACGTCATGCATGAGTCATGAATACGAGTTCCAACGAGTGTTTGGAACTAAAAGCGTGCTTCGGCCGTTATTTGCTCAGGACGTAATTGATTAATGTTTTACGACCTCTGTCCGAGTCACAATAACTCCAAACGCAGATCTGCAGGAAAGAATTGAACAACCCCATCACGCAAGATTCCTGAAGCTTCAAGAGAACGCTTGGAAGCAAATGTAACGGCGAAGATCATATCCCACTTTTGAGCTGGTGATTACAGAATGTAGTTTTCTAGTGACAGGAATTAATACTTAAGTTCGTTGGTTGGTGGGTGTTCGGAATGATTGCAGGCAAAAATCATGGAGGTCATATCCAACACAGTAGCATCTTCTGATCCGCTTGAATTCCGATGAGGCAAATCAAAATGTAGAACATCTCAGCCAGCAATTACCATTTTCTTATCTGTAAACCTCTCTAGATCTCAGTGCAGGCTCGTTTTCCTGTTACAGTATGTCACCTACATACAAATCACTGTCAAGGTCAAGAAACTATCGGGTCTGAGATTCCGAAGTTACATGCAGCGAGTGTATTTATAAACAGTGAGCAGTGGAGAGTTTTTCATCCAACAGGTCCTGAGAGATTTTTGAAGAAATAATCTCGTCATGCAATCCACTGAAATTGCCAACTCCAGGATCTGGCGTTTTCCAATTTCGACGGAATAAATTCCGCCTTGATTTTCAGTCAAGGATCCAAGGCAATTTCCAAGTGGAAATCAAACCTTAACGCCCTGGAGTTCTCGAAATCGATATACCATTGATTTGAAGTCGAGTGAAACATCGACATGAATAGGGAGGGATTCAATTAAAACTTCCTTGTTACCATATTTTGAAAACGTCGAGCGCAACATCTGTGTGGCTACTGCGTATGAAACAAAATAACCGCTTACAGCAGCTGTCCACCCAGTCTGAATTTCATCTGGTTAGTCTCAGTTTTTAGAAAATACTGTCACAATGGAAGGCCCAAGAGTGCTGTTCAAATGTCAATTATGATGAAGAGACTGCAGATCGAGCCAAAGCGTGACCAATGCGTGTCTAATTTTTAATAGATCCCCAGTCATAAGTAGAAGTTAGAAAATGTTCAAACCAGGGAGGGAGATACTCGTGAGGAGCTTGATCTTTACTTACCCGATCAATAGTGGAATGGTATTCAGGCCGTGCCTGTGGTGGCCGGCCGGGGCATCACAAGAAGGCTCATGACGGATCTTCAGAGAAAAAAGGCTCTCCCATTCTACGTCTGCAAGCGGATGTGTCAGACTTATTCCTCACTACGTGGCTTCTCTAACAGTCGTGACTGGCATGGTGAAGATGTATGTCCCTTGCGAAGATCTAGCCTTGCAATACGATTTCCAATCACGAGCGCATGTGCTGTACTTTGCAGAGAAGCGTGGTGATTTCACTTCAGGGTCTGTATAAGTTCCGAGCTCTTGCAGCTGAGCTCATCATCACTTTCGTCTTCAGCTTTTCTCTCCTAGTCCCGCCGGATAGAGTCATTCTCATAATAGTGCTTCTTCGCTTTGGATTGACTCTTCTCGGCCGAGACTAGCCTCGCAGCCCTCGTTCGGCCCTTGGTCATTGCTCGATACCTGCTTTGGAGCTCGACCTTCTCTCTTCTCTTCGTCCATTTGCTCGGGCAGACAATATGGCTTCGGTCATGCGATCAATCTTCTCCTCCGTTTTGGTCTCGGTTGTGGTCATCTCCAGCGTTGGAGCATCGATGGCCCAGGCTCCAGCACCAGGCCCTGCAGTAGAATCAGCAGCAGCCGGACTTCTTCCTGCCTCCATTGTTGCCAGTCTCGTCGTCGCTCTGACAGGATTCGCTGCGGCCCGATATCTTTGAAGCTAGAGCATCTTCAACAGAAACATAATCATATATCTTCAGAAACCATGGAGATTAAATTCACTGGGCCTGCGCTCACTTACAAGTCGCAATCAGCGTCCTAATATTGAACTCACTGGGGATTGTAGAAATTTCTTAGACAGAGTAAGTTGAAGCCCTCATGAAATATTTTTGAAGTTGGGTATACTTGTTTCCAATTGCGAGAAGAGTATCAGTCTGTTCAGGTACCTCGTATGAATAGACACGGGGAGTTAGATCTTTTGATAGTGATAATTTGTTGGGTGTCAAGCAGCAGAATCTGATCACAGCTAGTTCTGGAACCATAAGAAGCTGTATTCGAACTTCTTCTGTCTATAAAATCCAGCTTGATTGTCTCCAAGGTCCTGTCATCAAACATTTGACTCGATAAGCATATATCACTGGTGTTGGAACGCTGTTCCTTGTTTGAAATCTTCTCTCGATGTCTATCAGTCTCTATATATGAATACCTCCTGTAGCCGAACCATAGCTTCCTTGCAAGTTCCCTTCTGTAAGCTGAAACGTTTGAGTTGAATAACATTTGAGTTTTTTGATACAAAATTTCCAGCGCAGAGAATGTGGAGCTGTAATCTGCTGGATGTTAAGGTTCATTAAAGGCTTCATCAACCAATTTATATTTTCATCTTCGGAAAATTATTGCAAATTACTGAGTATTTGAATGAGCTGCCGCGGCTGATCCCTACCTTCAAACTTCCCAACTTTTATTCTTGATTCTCCCGGCGACTAGTTGGAAAGACATTTAACTGTATCCATTATCGAAAGGGTGGACATCTTGAGCAACTGACACAAACAAGGAATAAATGTGAACTACTGCATGTGGAAATTGGAAAAGAGTTTAATCAGCTTTGAGCGTGAATCTCTTCATCTTTTATTTCGCAAAATTGACGTAAACTATCCACGAATCCATCTCAAAAGTTTGAGAGTTGAATGTAACCAAAGCTGTTTATCAAGTTGACGTAACTATCGGGTCAATCCTTCTCTTCTATGGATCCACATACTATATAACATGATTACAAAGCCAATTACAGATGTCATACAGATGTAACGAGTATTATTGTCACTTTGTGTCGAAGGCAAGAGCAGTTATGATCTTGACGGCGCAGAAACAGTTCCAGCTACCTTGTTTTTGGAAAACCTGGCGCCTGCCTCGGAAAACAAAATGAATCCGACTAAAGCGAAGACTACAACTGCAATCAAAGCCAAAGCCAGGCCTGAGTATTGTTGAGGCTTCATCGTTACTTGCAGTAGAAAATCCGTTTCTGATTACAAGAGTATATGAAGGTCTAAGATCTGAAGTCCCAAAGTAAAGTTGTGTGACTGATCAATTCGATCGTACACGAGGTTCAATAATGAAAGGAAGAAACGTAGGTGTGAGCTTTTACCTCACCGAAGAGAAGCTTCTAGATATACATCTACTCCATATTCGGCTCTCACGGGGCCGTCCATATCGCTATTTTTATCCTGGGGACTAAGAGACCCCTTGAGGTTGGATGCATGCTCGCCATCAACATGCAAATAATTTGGACTCGCATTGAAAACCTGCTCCTTCAATCCAGCATAGGATTCACGGTCTGATCATAGAAAATGGATATCACAACCTGAACAGATCCAGGTTCCGGGTCGTAAGTGAGCCTACTTTTGGCACAACATCTGAGGGAGTACTTGGCTCACTATACAATTCTTAACTTCAAAGGGTCATGAGCCACGATCCACCTCAAGCTCCAAGTTTCCACAGTATTTTGTGAAGTATTGAGGTCGAAGTCTTCTTAAGCCTGAGTTGTGAATGACTCATACCGTTTGCCGCTAATTGTGGGCATTAAATATAAATATTTCAATAGAAGGTGGTTACTCAGTTTCTACCTGTGGCAAGTTTTCATCGAGTTCAAGGAAGGCACCTGGACATGAGCGTCTAGGCCTGCACGCATCTGTCGGAGACCATCATGTCCTACATCAGTGACTGCTGCCTGCAGTCAGGGATCGCCAGCTGGACCACCTTAGCCTTAATCTGAGGGTACTAAAGCTGGAGTCCTCACGAGTTGTCCGGCACCTTATGACACAATCAACAATTTAAGCATCCTTCGCAATCAAGAGTAAGTTCCCTTTGACTGCTTTATGAACTGAACTGAACTGCCTATATGCCTGTTGGTCTTCGGCACTGGCCAGTCGTGACATCTGCTCGTAATCTTTCTCCAGCCTTCTTCGCAGATCAAATCGTCCGCTTCATGCGCACAGCTTTTGCTTATGCTGCAATTGGCGGCTTCTAGTATTAAAACTGCTTTAGCTCTAGATGGCCGCCATGCCCCATATACTCAAGATGCTCAGGATGGGTTATAGGTTATTTCAAGAGCTGCTGAACTCCTCCCGTCCAACAGTTTAATCGTTGCAATCAGTGGATATGCTACCACCATAACGCTGTGAACTGTCTCGATGATCAACTCCAGGCTACTAAAAGTCCTTGATCATGGTTAGAGTTTTAGACCATGAAGCTTCCATGATCTGCATACTAAAGGTAGGATGAATGTAAGATTAAGAAGGTATACAAGAGTAAGAATGTAAATGAAGAATGAACCCTGCCATTAAGATAGAACTGTATATTACTAGTCACATGTGTATCTGTCAGCAGAGGAAGTTCATGACTGTATCATATACATTTATCAAAGTGCAGTGGCAAGTGCAACGTCTAGATGGCAGAAGACAAAATATTTGAGATTATCTATTTTGATGTCATGCATCATTTTGAGTTACTTATGAAGAGGGTTGCCGGACGAGACCAAGCTTTCCGATTTGATATCATGATTTTTAAGGTTAGGAAATGTAATTAAAGCCTTGTTCAAAGTGATAAATAGGGACTATATTGAGTGTATTATTCGCTAGCGCATGAACAAACAACATCGCATGGCTAAAACATTAGACTTGAAGGCTTTAAATTGAGTCAAGTCAAATATTGGCCCCAAGGATATCATTCTCGTGTACCAGTAGTAGATTATCGAACTGTGAACTTCCTTGCTAAGAAATAATGCAGATAAAATGGTGAAGAATGTGAACCGCTATAGTTTCATCACATCGCTTAAGGTTGTTAAAAGCTCTTAAAAGGCACTCTCACCATTATTTAAACTAAAATTTTGATCATTTGCTGCCTGGATTCCGATAGATTTCATTGAACCTGCTGCAATGCGACCATGCAAAGTTGGAGCTTGTCAAACTCCGTTTCAACCGAAACATCTGTTACTGTATAATCTCTACATCGCAAGTCTGTATGTTTCGGACTTGAAGAACCTGTTAAACTTGATTGAATTAATTGAAGATCAAGTGCTCTTTGGCACCCAAGTATACTCTCTATATAATAAGTCGTGTATGTTTCGAACTTGAAGAACATGTTAAAATTGTTTGAATTAATTGAAGATCAAGGGCTCCTTGGCATCAGGTCAAGACTTGAAGTTCTACATGCACTTGGTCATTTTGTTTGGAAACAGTTTGTAATCTAAGCAAGCTCAAACCGACATGTGATAAGTTGAACCAGGCGCGTTCCAACATTTTGACTCCTTGTTTATCTTATGAACTTGCAACTTTGAAATCAATGGATTTTCTTCAAATAGTTCTGAAATATCAAGATCGTTTGGAAGTTTCTTGGCAACAGAACGAACAGTGGAAGAACACAAGCAGCTTTTGGTCGTCTTGCACCTTGAGCATTGACTTCGCAATATATTAAATCATTTGACAGATCCTAGTGAAGCATTAAGCATAGGGTTCCTGACCATTTCCAAACACCGCTACCGTAACAAGTGATTTTTGAGTGCTGAAATGGAAATATCATTTTCACAAATAAAAAATAATCGAAGAAGTATTACATTGCAGTCAAGATAGGACATTACTGAAGAATACATAAGAGATTTGTGCTAACCTCCGAATATTTCGTATTTTTTTTCGATGATTATGCTTAATTTTGTTGAAATACTGAACATACGGAAAGTTCCCTATATGGAGAGGACTGAAAACGTGAATCCCAAATTATCTCCTTGTTTAATAACAAAAACAATGTGCTATCTTGAAAGTAAAGAAAATTTGTAAAACTTTTATGCAATAATGATAAGTCATGTTGATGGAAAAGAGTAGAAGGTGAATCTTAGAAACCAAGAGTTAAAGACGATGATAGAGTAACAATAGAATATTGGAGAAAATGTGTCTAGGACATCCACCCATCGTTGCAGGCAAAACGAGGCCCTACCGAGATTCGAACTCGGGCTCTTGGATTCAAAGTCCAATGTCGTAACCGCTAGACTATAGAGCCATGGACGACTCCTGAGGTCAAGATACAATATTATTCACTAATAAAAATCTACTTCAAGCTTTTTTATTCCAACATTATTTCATTGCACACGTTTGTTGTTTGGTCTTAAATTTTGTTAACCTTCTGTGTTCTGAATAGGTTTAGGAAATTATCGATCATAAAAAGACAAAAATGTTAAATCAAACCCTCTAAAGCTTTTAAACAAAACCTGACGTAACTGTTCCCGCAAATGGATCCGGATTGGTGATACGAGGTTTCACGTGCGGCCATTCACGATCGCCGCTACTTTGCATGGTTCGAATGAACAAATGAAGTTGATGGTTAGCAGTCTAAGAGCAGTTCCTGAATTGTCAACAAATATTCGGCTTCAAGCCACGTACGTGTATTTCTCTGGCCAATTTGGGTCACGTAGACTCAATCGGAGTGGATAAAACTGCTTGAAGTGAGGTATGACCTTTCCCTCTATTCTGTACTGTCAAAAGGTATTTATTTGAACTTTTGAGTCATGTTCAGGCAGTAAATATTAAGGACTGTTCTAGTCAGGCATACAGCCTCTGGAGAGAAAAATAGAAAGTGGAGCCCTCGACAGGTATATAACAGTGACCACATGGTTTATCAAGATTAACCGGCTGAAGCAGGCCCTCGGCCCCTTGATCTGGGAATTTCCTTCTTTCAAGGACAGCCCAGCCCCGTGTAAATAGGGACTCTGACTGCCTTCGGTGGTGACGAGACGAAGGCAAGGTCATGAGTAACACTACAGTCCGTAGTGTTTCTTCTTCTCGGACAGCCATACAGTATACATTCACTTAAGTCCGCATTTTTCAGACGAAATTTCAAGGATCAAAATTGTAGAGTTTTATTTATCAGCAGAAGTCAAACTTTTGTTTAATGACGGTGATGCTAAACGATGTTATAACTTGAAACGAATGTTTGCATGTATGAGGCAACATGGTGGTTTCTCACTAGAGATTAGCTCTCTCTCCTTTTTGGCCCTAAGGTTGGATCTTTTAATAACTGCTTGTATCTAAGTCTACTGGTTTTCATCCTACTTCCTATTCCTATCCCATGCGTCTCGAACCCAGTTTCATTCTTGATAAGGCTTCACTCATATCAATCTCTACAGACTTACCAATATCTTAAATATATTGTCTCGGTTAATAACTATATCGACATGAGTTCGTTGTAGACGGTGTTGAGAAAGAACAGCACAAACTAATTGTAATAAGAATTGAGTCAGAAATTAACGATCCTTTTCCTTAACAATTGCAATACAAGGACTATTAGTAATGTCAATGTTAACCTCTAACCACAGGGTTAATAGTTTTTTGGGATGAACTGAAGGGTGGTACGAAGTATCACTACGTCTCGAAAACCATTGGAATGTTGTCCGAGGCTTTTCTCGTTATTAAGACCTTTTGACAATAGCTAACATAGAAATACCGCAGAAAGATTGAAGTCACAAGATGAGATATAACTGAAGTCCGCATCCGAGATAAGTCCGCACAAACCTTCTCAGATCAAAGTGCGGACTTAACCGAGTTTATACTGTATGCGAGGGAATCTTGCACACCCAAGATCCCTACACACAAATAAGGACATTATATGATGATTATTGTGCAAAATCATCCGGTTCAGTGTAAGATATAATACGTTTTGCATAATCTATATTGATATCGCATTCCGCTCTTCTACTTAATGAAGAGTGTATTCTGTCTTCCTTCCACAAGAAAGGTTTACCATATGCTTGTGAAAGTTACACCATACTTATAGCATGTACAGAAAAGAGAACGAGGTGCTGTCGTATCTATGCGGGTAGCTAGTTTCAGATATTGCACAGACTGATGCCTAAACAAGCTGAACAAGTAAAGAATAAGAGTGTTCTTGTACTCCCCCTTTTGGTTTCTACCATTAGGTGGTATCAACGTTCAAACCACCTCAGACTAGTGAACAATGGGAGAGTTACTCTTCAGTGTGAAACTTTGCTTGAATGTGCTTGTAGACAGTACTTGAGGTATTGCGACACACACCGATACCGTGTCATTACACAGGATTAGGGCTCAGTTTCTTCACAAACCTTGCCGAGATGTTTCAGTAAAATTGCCATTTCGAATCTTCGAGATACTACAACGAAACTGACCATGGCGCGCTCTTCGGAAGACAGGACGTTCGTTATTAGACGTAATACCTGGAAACTCTTTTCGGCATATTAGAACCTGGTACAAATTGATGGCGCTAGTTATTTTCTGACCTAATCGGTTTAACTTTTCTGTACAGTAGGCGAATGCAGTACACCATGAATATGAAAGCCGAAATGATAACGGTGCATTTCGCGTCCAGCTTGACATGTGCAGGACGTACTTTTATACGACCCATTCATCCTACATGTATCCCACGGGTCCACAGTGATTTCTTGATGTTAATCCACGTTACTTAACGGTCCATATATCTTTTGTCGGACACTTGGACCAGAGTACCACATATGTGACTTCCGTCCATATTTGTCCCCGCTTTACAATTCTCACTAAGTGAAAACGACGACTCCTACTTGGCTCTTCGGCATCCTTGTGATCGACAGAACCATGTGCGATACAATATCGTAAATTACGGGTAACTTGAAGTATCATCTTCAAAACAGTAAAAGGTAGTCCACATGAAAATCTGGTGACCGTTTCCGCCTTGTTCAGAAGTTTCACTTACCCGAAACAAGTACTCAAAACAAAATTATAGATCTCCAAATTTCATAATTTAACAGACTAAGAAAAATTGAGAGAGAGAGAGAGAACTGTCTTCCATTGTTCGTATCCATACAGAAAAAGATACCTCCACGTTTGAGTTTACAATTTACATCCGCATACTCAGGAATGTTCTTTAATAGGTTCTGTTGGACAGGAACGGCACTAGGAACAAAGACCATGCATATCAGGGTCATCCACCTTGTTTCCAACTCAAGAATGACTCGACTAATGTGGATTGTCAAAATTGCCGTACTCTGCCGAAGCCGACCGAATTTTTTCTCTAGATTATAAGTAGAGCAATTTTCCCACCACTGGTCCATAGATAAAATCCCCCGTCCCTTTGCTCGACATGCCTTGATCGATCACAGACGACAACTAATACTACATTGAAGGGTGCTACCGCTGTTATACTTTACAGCAAGGATAATTACAACACGGATCTGCTTCACTTCAAACAGCAAAGGTTCTCAATATATTACAAGAGTAAATCAAGACCCGCCGGAGGGATGTGGACTGCCGATGGTTGACCAAAGTAAAAGAACCTAGGAAGGGGGCTTGAGGCGCAAGCAATTATCTGCTGCCATGTGGAAGAGTTCTCTTAGCTGCTTTAGCTCCCTTTCTGCCAATACAGTACATCATATTAAAAAAAGGGCGTGTCCAATTCTTTAATTTGAACAATTGACGAGAGTTTCTTCCATATGCATTTCCTACTCGTATTTTCATTTCACGGATTGACACCCGGATGTGAAAAATGTCCACGGGATGACGTGAAGGAATAATAGATAAGAGTACAAATGATTAGCAGCAAGAAGAAGCGCATGCACAGAACAATACGCGTAACATTGTGACTGAACGATCACCTCACCATGAGACATCAAGCACGTGTCCTCCTTCCCTAAGAAAGCAAGATACAACACCAAAGCTCCGAGCATACGAGCAACTAATGAAAGAAGGCCGGTGTCTCCTTTATTGATTGAGAAACAAACCTGCTGACTGCATTTCGTCCTGCAACTCCTTCCCAATGCTCTCGTTTTCTGCCTGTATGGGTCCGGCGTGAGATTGTGTTAAACGGTAGCATATTGATAGATACATCGCAAAATTCCAACAATGTTTCTTTCTTCAAAATACTACTGGGAACACCTCGCTTTGCTTGGCCGAACAGATCAAACTTGGCACCTTAAACTGACTTCTAGCCGTAGGACAGACGCCACTTCCGACCAAGCCGGTTTTTCCAACATGGGTGAAGCATGAAAACCTTGATAGGCTTGCTTGTGCAACGGAACCTCGCTACACTAAGGACTCCACTTTCGCAATACAAAGCCAAAATTTCTTCAATGGAAAACAACCAGATGCCCGACATGAGGTGGAGTGTCCAAATCCAGTAATTGAGATGGTACGGTTCCTTCCGGTTTGTACGGCTGAATATCGTGAATTTTTTATTATTATCTTTAACATGTTCTCTGATCCTTTATACTCGTGTCCTTGAATATCAAGATTATAAAGTTCATCTCAATATCTCGCGTTTTGGCCTTCAACGCCCCAAAAATAAAGAATTGAACAAGTCGATGAACAGTCTTTGATGTACGGTCCACACTAACATAGAACAGACAAACAAATTTTTGACTGGCTACTCGGGCTACCTGAAGTTCGGCTATCTTCTTCAGCTGGGCCTCCTCGCCACCATCATTCAATGGAAGTGCAGCAACCAGGGCATCAAACTTGAAGCACATAGCAGGTAAGTACAAAAAAGTTAGGTGACGAAACATATTCACGGTTCACGAAAGGCCTCACCACAACCAGCCCACTACATATTCAATACAGGTCCTCAAAAGTCACTGCGTTCCCTGGAATGACATGAATGGTCCTGTGTGTGTTCACCCGCAGGGTTTATGTTGAGCAATAGATGACGAAGCGGGAAGCTCAACAGAGAATGCACGGACGGTAGAAAAAAAAAGGAAAATTTAGGAAGTTTCCCGAAGAAAAATGCCTTCCATGTACTTGAGATCCTTCCGACGATAACCTTATTTTGTAACAATAGTAGCAGGGAAAGAATGCTTGGTAAGATGGAAATAGATGATGTCTAAAGAGAAAAAGTAACAGTGGAGGAAAAGGAGGAAGAACATTGATGCCCACAAAGAGTAATCAGAACCCTCAAATACAATATGTGGGACAATAGCATACAGAGGTCCAACACTACGTCATCAGGCCTGATGGTGAATCAAAGCGAGATACAAAGACAGTAACCGACATGTGCAATTTTGTGGCAGAACAAACGGGACCTTCGAGGAATTAACATCTGCCTGATGAAGAACTTAAGAAATCTCCAATAAGACTCTCCATCCAGAATAACGAGCTCACAGTGAACCAAAATCTCCCATAAAGATCCCCATGTAAAATACAATGACAAAGGTAACTGCCCATAGAACCAGAAAAATCACTTCCAATCTCGGTCCCAGTAATATAAACTTGAACTCAGCATTAAAAGACTCAAAGTGGCCTTAGATCATCCAGACCGCACCTGCTTCACTCCTTGCATGAAGGCCACGGCGGCGGATTTGGGATCGCTATTGATGGTGGCGAGAGCCTCGGCGGTGGGCGCAGGCGGTTCCGGATAGTTTTGAGATAAGCGAGCAGGCGGGGCATCCCGTTGTAACGACCCAACCGTGTTGAAGGCGATGTAGGCTATCTTGTTCACCTGATCCTGCAATTGTGCGATAATATCCATGATAGCCTCCCTTCTGACGATCGAGACCGCGTGCTCGCGTTCGCTTTCAAAAACCGGAAGACGATGAAGTAGAAGCTGGAGAGATCATCGAAGACGAAGAGCTGAGAACCAGAGGCCGACAAAGGCAACAAGGAAGGCAGTCCTCGCCTTGCTGCGAAGCCTCCCAGGCCATCAATCCTCCCATAGGGATAAGGACAGAAGGTCGGACGGATCTTCACGAGAAGACCCCTTAACCATCTTCTCAGTTCATTTCACCCATTTCGACGAACATCCTCCCCGAGTCAACAACTCTCAGAGACTTGGTGCTGCAAGAATCGAACAGAAACACGAAATCGATAGGCAAAAGGCAGCAAACCTAGAGGCCCAAAGACGGGATCCCAGGAAACAACCCGATCGATGCCTTTCGAAACTCTGTTCCACTCTCGACGTTGAGATTCTGCACCTCCGGCCCTGCTTTTCTCGACCAAAGTCCACTTTGTCGTCTACGACGTGACGGTAGCCCGCATTTGACCTTGGTTAAAGATATGCAACAAGGTCTTAATTCAGAGTTCGAACCGTAACTCGACCAAGATCCGGCATTGTGACTGTGGTCGTGATCCAGGACTGTGAGAGTCATGCAGTCCTGCAGGAGCAAAGTACGGAGCATACTCGAACCACTTTCGGCGTTTCAGTCTTACCACTTCCGTAGTATAGTACTGTACGTACCGCACCGCAGTCAACTGTCAACTCGGCTTCGGGGATCGAAACTCTTTCCACTTCGTCATTGTTAGAGATAATTACTTGATGGACCCATCCCGAACGCAAAACCCTTGACGAGACCCAGACGTTATATTTGAACGGATTTGAACGAACCAACGACTGCACACCATCACCAATGTTACTCTATAAGTTCTTGTAATGCCTGTGTTCTTGTAATGTGTGTTTACAATTTCAAAAAAGTCTCTCTCAATATAGTTTAGTTTTAGCAAAAAGCTATTATGTTCGAGGAGGTTTGGAGAGTTAATAATAATAGTTTACCTCAGTAGCTCCTAGCACCCTCTAGCAATGTTGGATGAACCCAGAACATGAAATTTGTGATTTGCAAGGTTTATGTAAAGTAATGATCAAATTGCATGATCAAGTCATCCCAGAAAAGAATTATCTTTCATACCTTCCCTCTCACTTTCTTATCGGCTAACGCCTGTCTCACTTTCTTATAGGTTAGCTGCTGTCTTGCATTTGACCGCGTGATGTTCTGAATCAAATCCAAATTAAGTGTAGACGAGGCCCGGAGTTGCTCAACAAGGGCCGATACCCATTCCGAGGTCCCTTCCCCCTCACTTTCCCATCGACTAGCGACTGTGTTGCATTTGACTGCATGATGTTCTGAATCATGTCCAAATCAATCGAGAGGCCAGGAGTTGGATCAACAAGGGCCTATCTCCATTCCGAGCTCGACTGAAATCTATCGTTGAACTCTCACTACTAACAAAATCTCGCAGGTGATGGTGGGTGCGGGGTACCATTGGGGAAAAAATAGTTTAGGGTATCGTCAAGTGTTTTAGGTTCCGATAAGTCCTATCAAGTAATTTCCTCTAATTGTTATACTAATCTACATACCGAATGTTCTACATTCAGTCAACCGCTGGTGCTCATTCATCGACTCACAAGAAGACATTCGGAAGATGATATTATGAAGACCCACCGTCTTAATGAAGCCAAGAATTTGTTCAGAGATATAATTTTGTCACATGATGGACGTCTGAGACCCCATGAAAAGATTGCATGGCATGTGCAAATAGGTCGCTTGAATCTCAGCATTATATTCATAACGCATGTTGTGCAGCAGCTAGTGGTTTTGCTATTTTCGAACATACTTGGTAAAAAAAAGATTCAATCTTCACCAAATACTGATACAAATTTAGAATGTTTTTCCAAGTGATTTGCATCCCGTTTCCATTGGCTTTGCATTTCTTCGGAATTTCAATTAAAATCTACTCAATATACGCGGCTTCTCGTGTAGATTCCTCATAAAGTTATCTCTTTATATATAGAGCGTTTAATCGCTAGTTTAATTTAATCATGTTACTTATACATAGTAACACAATATTCTTTAATTTTCAAAAAAAAATCAATCAATGCATCACTTTTGTCTTCTGATTAATTCAATCTTTTATAGAGAATGTATCTTGGCAAACAAATTTATCAATTTGGGTCAGCACTTGTCAGGCAGAAAACAATCAATTTGCGCGGCACGTCATCATCGTTGACACCGAGTTGTTTATTCCAATGCCTAGTCTCCAATAGTGAGTAAGTAGTGGCTGAATTTGACATGTCAATTTAGATGTCGGAACTGGGAAGTATAATATTAGTAAATTCTTGGAAGAGTGTTGTGGCTCAGAGACTTCAGAGTTGAATTTTTTGAAACTGAAATCTAGATTACTTCCTGTCCTCCCGATTGTTCTGAAGAATGTGATTCATAGGACTTACAGTTTTACGCAGTTACACCAGGAAAGTTTGACTTCTGGAATTTCACAGGACGGTGTGTATGATACTCAGACTTCTGAAGGCAGAACTGGCACTAATCTGACTGACAGATATAGGATGACGATCAACAACGAGCTGTAGAGATGGATTTCGTGACGGAAGGGATAGATTCGAGCATGATCAACATTTTTATGGAGAAAAACTTAAAACATTAAAAAGTCTATCATATAGAATATATATGCACTAGCCAACGATTATACGCTATATGCTCGATGCCTTCCGCTCGTCAACCAGCATCAGCTTTATTTGTAATGTCGACCATATTTCATATGACGAGCTTCAGTCCGATCTATGAACTCTCTCGAGCGTCTAGGTGACTTCAAGCACTCTTATGAACCGCCAGTGTCGATAGAGATGCTCGGATGAAACGGCTTATTGTGTAGTAGGCTCCTCTTTAGTGATAATCCAATGTACCTTTGTATCGGTTTCATCCACTTTGCCATAGCGTGCCTCATAGCATTTTAACGGAACATTTCCGCCCTCATAGCGTGCCTGCCCATCATCTGAGCCGCCTGATGGAAGATCAAATATAAGATCTTGGGTGTGGTGATTCCGGATGTGGTATGTACCTTCATAATAGCTCGAAGGGATGACATCCCACTCGGTGCCTGCGGAATCTATACCACTCGAGCCCAGTATACCTTCTTGATCTTTTTCGTCATCACCCTTCGTCAACATACGTCCAACGGCTGCTGCTCTTATAATCCAGGAGCCGTTACCGCTCGCCGACTTGTTGAAGCGAAATAGATCGCCGTAAAATTCGGGCCGAGGAGATTCGCCAGTCGTATACGCCGTATCAAAGATCATTCTAGTTTGTCTGTCGACCAAAAAACGAGCTGTTCTCTTATTGATTATGAAGTACTCGTCGCCTTCCGCTGGAATAGTTGCCGAAGTCGCCATCTGATGTTTTGGAAGAAATTTGGATTTGTCGTGTGGGTAATTTGGCCTGCAACCATCCAGAAAGATCACTATAGTTTCAGTCCATCGAGCTGGATATTACAGCCTCACTCCAGTATATGAGTGACGACTCCAGCATGAAAAGCTATATCTGTTTCTGGTATCGTGCATTGAGGTCAGTAGTTTTGTTTTCCTGAGTGTAGACTGTTACACGTATGAGAAAGTTCCATTGCCTTTCTTGTAGAGCATATATCACGAGAGCGATGGAGCTCCATTGCAAGATAGACATTCGTTACATATCAAACACAGAAACCGAAAGAAAATCAACAGCTGAATGTTGAAGTAATGGAAGAAAAACAAGCAGGTCCATAATACCTGGGCTCGACTCCAGGAATGAGACCAAATAACCTCTAGCTCGGAGATGGTGTCTGAAGTTCAGCTGCTCTTGTGCGTATGTATAAGGAGGACTGCCGCTGCATTTATACGAGTTGCTCCCTCGTATCGGATGTCCCCGAAGGAACATCCGATGACAACTAAATGGTAAAATGGTAAAATTAGTGGATAGAACGCATGCTCCGTGAAGATTCTCGAACCCAATCCCGCATATTAATTTTCAAGATGTACGCATGTTCCGTGAAGATTCTCCAATCCAAGCCGCAGATTGATTTTCATAATGTACGCATGTTCCGTGAAGATTCTCGAACCCAATCCCGCATATTAATTTCATATGTACGCACGTTCCGTGAAGATTCTCGAACCCAAGACCGCATGTTATGTCTTGCTGTCGACGTATCACTGGATTCTGAGTTGTATTAGGGTCCATCTGCATGCAGACAGAGGTTAATGAGGTTAATCTGATCTTCACCTACGAAGGATATCTATCCACCTGGTACTTTACTGATACCTATAGGCAGGAATGGATATAATACAGATCTGTAGTCACTCGTCTAAATTCCTAAATACGTATAATTTAATCTAATCGAAAAAATTACTTTAGTTTACTCAAAAATATTAATTTAAACGAATTTAGTCTCCTTCAAAGGTTAATTTATTTTACTACAAAAATAATTGAAATTAATTTAACTTCTAAAAATTTAATTTAGTCTAAAAAAAATTTAATAATTTTTTTTAAAACAATTTATATTAGTTTTTAAAAAATCCATCAATTCTACATATTTGTCCACTTTCCATTGGTTATAACATGTAGGTGTCAAATCGCCAAATTAATTTAATCGCCTAATCACTATAAAGTTTAGGTAATTTAGATAATCTTATATACGATCGTCTGATATAGCTTTTGGCTGCAATTTAAAACAACCATGCCTGCCTATAGGACATGCACCACATAAAAAAACTAAGCCGCGATAACGCGGTTTCACTAGGTTGATGGTATAATTGAATCGTAAACAACTCCCGGTCTGTCGTAACTGTCATAGGAAGTTTCACAGAGGGGAATACAATGGAATGAGGCTGGAACGACCCTGTTATCGTTGGCCCCTTGTCTAAGCCAGGGGCTTGGTAGCCCTTCTCCGTTGAGATGCGGTACATCCCGGACAGGGGCTGAAGCGGATTCAGAATGAGCGCGTTTACGCTCAGATTCAGTCAACTCGCTACTTTCAGGAGACCCCGCGTCCTGCATTTTTTTTAGTTGAATCTTGTATGAAATCCTTATCCGTTTATCTAGCTTTGAGCATCATTTGCTACAATCGTTCAAATTTTAATGTGTAAAAAACTCAAGTATGTTGATCACAGTGAAGTCATACCTTGCTCACGCTTCTTGCTGAGAAGGATGTCGTGTGATAAGTACATTCCTCATAAATTGCAGTGTCACAATCAGTTTGCAAGAATGTCTTTTTCAAATTTTTTAATGTTGGTGTCCAGAGTTTGTCCTTTAGCGCACGTATTACACTTTTCGCGAGTATTGCTAAGTTGAAATTGCATACTCGTGACATGTAGCAGGATTTCTTGATTGGAGCTTGTTTGCTAGTGAACTTTGACAAACTTTAAGTAACTCGGAAAGGAGTCAAAGTCACAGGTTGTGTTTTGAGTTGCGTTGATACTGCTTGCTATTGGTTTATTTGATTTGGCCCCACGGCCTTTGGATAAGCCTTCATGCGCCGTTATAGCAAGGGAATTTGCGATACATGAATTACGTTTCATTCAATGCTAAACAAGTGCCTAATTAAAAATTTCATGATGTTGTTTTTTGGAAGTATAAAGGTGTATTCATATTTTGAACACTGTTCTTTGACTTCCAATTTGTACGTGATGTCGTACTTTTGACATATGCCGTGATTGGACAGTAAGAACTACATTCACGCGAACTTGATCGCAATAGAGCGAAAGTATTGAGTTTCGTGAGCATCTACTTACACGCGTTTCTGCTGCATCTCGGCGTTCTCAGAGAGTACCACACGCATCAGACATGACGATGTTTTCGTGTTTATAATAACCAATGTCAGTTTGGGCTCTCAGCTTAGAAAGTTCGGATCTGATTAGAAGAGGGTTATCATTGTTTCGTTTAGGATATAAATTTAGTCTCTGTTCATTGAACGTGGCCACTCACATTCTGGTCTCACGACGAAAACAAATTTCTTTCCTTCAGAGTGTGTTTGCTGTAGCACGTTTTTGACACTGAATGAAGCAATTAATGGAAGACAGTACGAACATGTCATCTAAAAAGAGACAGTGAGAAGGCAGGCAAACACACACACGTCTTGCCGTCCAAACAGTCCCGAAGAGCCTTGATTCATGATGGCCGTACCCATCCCTGTGTACAAAATACACGCGTACATGTCTTGCCCTCCAACACCCCCGAAGTGCTTTGCTCGTATACGGGTTAACTGTTACACTCGAGTTTGACAATGTCCGGGAATAGAATTCAGATAATTGGGAAAGAATTCAAAAGATTGCCCGATTCTTGATTCATGATCGCCGTGCCATTAGCCCTGTGCACTACAAAAGATTACAATTGCTTCAAGTTTCGTCCTTTCATATCAGTTGAGGCTAAAGAATAGGCTCCTGGAGCCCACGCTTCCGGTGGATGAGCATACCAACCTCAATAATGTTTGGAACAAACGAGATTCTAAAAAGCTGTGGTCACAGAGGGCCCTCTCTTGTTCTACAGATCATTGCTCTTTTACATTTTTTGAAGATCCAAGTGCTGTCAAATAACGTTTCCATGGAGCATCTTCTTGGTGCTTAACCCACGACAAGAATGCACTGTCTAGAATACAAAAGAAGTTTACAAACAAAAGTTGATGTTGTACAGGGACAAAACGGAAGTTTGCTATCTGCACAAAGAACCAAGTCGAACCCTCAATCATGAATGTGGGTACAAAGTCTCTTTTCAGGTCTTTCTTAACCTGCTCGAAGGGTTTACCACTAGCCAACCCAGCGTATGTGAAAAACGTCACCAGGTGTATAGGCCCAAACAACAGCGTGTCGACAACTACTTTTGTAGCTACAAATGCTAAAGAGTTGGGAACAAGTCTCATCTTGCTTTTGACGATGTGCTCCAAGGCCTCATACCTGTGAAACAACTGCATGTGTTAGAATGTAGAGGAGCAAGTCCATTATTGTACTGAACATGACTATGAGGTGCCAGGGGACCAAATTCAAAAAAGTCCGGGAATCGAAAGAAGAAATAGACCTGACAGTACAATTTGATCTCTTCCACTGCATATTTTCCGAAACTTTTTTCTGAATGTCGAATTATAATGGAGCTGCAAGCTCCATTATAATTCGATTATAATATAAGGAGCTGCAAGCTCCATTATAATTCGATTATAATATAAGGAGCTGCAAGCTCCTTATACTCTATGGAAGAGAACTCAATTGATGCATGAATTCAGAAGATTGGACTTACCAGAAATGCCCTACCGGTCCGACGAAGCCAAATCCAAAGAGACTGGTGGTGGCTACCCTTCTGAGGTTCAGGGTTTGATTTGTAGTAATAGTTCCTAGATCTCCCTCCTGAATAATCAGATTAAATTAGGATCTCTTCGAGAAGCATGATTTGTTCTGTTCATTTGAGTTCGCCAAATGAATCTTGCACGATACAGGAACATACTCATGAATAATTATCCAATTATGTGAAACAAAAGAGGGCCTCTTTCTCAAATCTTTGAATCTATCTACTCACACAACACTTCCAGTCAGCGATTAGTAAGTAAGCTTGTTTGAGCTTTGAGACTCTACATGTGAATTATCCTTCGGGTAAAGGTTGAAAAATAAACCAAAAACAAAAACAAAATGAGAACAAGAAGATAGAGAAAAATCGGAGAAAGAGAACGGTGGGTTCTACACTTGCTGATGTGAAATACTACATTCTTCACTAGGTGGGCCATTTTTTTCGACCTAAACCCCTGGCAGATCTGGCGGGTCTGTGGGCTACGGACTACGCCTGTGAAGATCAAAATCAGTAATCAGGTGCTGCAATTGACCAGATGACTGACAGGAAATTAGTTCCCTAAACCATACAATATGCAAGTTGCAATCTGGATCCCCAACTTGCTCTCCATTTAGTTAAAAAGGAAAGTCTCATTTAAACGTGAGCTTTGAAGTCTGGACGAAATAAACGACGCACAGAGCTGCTTAGATGCTCTACAGGGATTGTTCAGGGACGTAGTGAACCAATAAGGGTCTGAGTAATCGGCACACACAAGAATGCAATCACAACCCTGCACACAAGCATGCAGATATATGACTTGGACCAAACTTGAGTGGGATATGATGGCACATAGTGCAATTCTTGAAAGTCACACCCAACAGTTGCACCTCATCTTTAACTCTATAATTCATGAGCAACCATGACCATCCCTGATCTTGCACGTGCACTCCGTTTTGAGCAGCTCTCAAGAGGGCAACATTCTGACCAAAGACATGGTTTCGAAAGAGTTTCCCCGACGCCACTCCTCAAAGTACAAACCAACATCCTCCAACGAAGAAACAAAATATCTCCATCAAGTAAAATCTCGACCAACAGAAAAAACAAGTTATCTCCTTCAGAAACGCATTCTTTCACTGGCAAGCAGCAACGAACTCGACCTCTGGACTCCAGACCGACGAGGACTCATCCCTCCCCTGACAAAGAACGACGAAGATACAGACGGGCAGCAGCAAACTGGGAAGACAGGGCACGGGCTCAAGGGAGTCCCCCAGCCGAATACTCGACCGAGGCGCCAGCCAACGGACGAGCCAGAGACGTTGGCGCGCCATTGTGCGAGGACGGGAGGTTGGAGGCTCCAAGAAAAATCCTGCCACGCACGATCGTTTGAAATTTAAAAGCTCGCGCTCGGCCACGCACGCTGCTACTTAGCAGCGTGCCTCCGAGATAAAGGTTGGGTTCGGAGGAGCGTCCTTCGGCCGTGAGACCGGAGAGAGTCTGCTCCGCCGAGCAGGAGATTGGAATGGTCGATGATGGTGCTCTGCCATTGAGAATGAATGGCAGGCAGACAGAAATTCGGTCGATGCCTTTCCTCGGGCACAATCCGTGGATCTATGACGACTTCATTGCTTGCAGTGCTGGCTGGCTGCTGGTGCTCCAGATTTTATCCACCAGAACCTCATGCGTTTATTGCTGACCACCCCTGAAGATTCGATACTTGCAATTGCTCCTTCAAGCCATGAGTTCTAAAGAGCTTTCACAATTCTGTCGTTCCAGCACCCGAAACCCCTGCAAGCACCGGCGATTCGATACAAGCGGGATTCGAAGAGTAGAGTGAGGTATTCTTAAGTTTTGATGGTTCCTGACCCCCTCCGCCTTTCATCTCAGTTTGCGGCCAGGAATTAGATGAAATGTGCGTAGATTCATGTACTTGTTGACAATCTAAAGTTTCAGAGAAAAAATAGATATCTGGGTAGATGATTGTGTTCAAACATGCTCTTCACACGACTATGCATTCATTGGTCGGGTCAAGCAAATTGTTAGGCGTGAATCACCCTACGCTCGACGTCAGTGACGACGAGAAAACTCCCTGCACGGAAAGTCGAGGAGGAGGACAGCAAATCAAGAAAATTCCACATGGTGACGAGCTTGAATGCCACAGGAACAAATGACCTACCGGCGGGGGCGTTGCGGCGGCATGCGGCACTGCGGGGGATTTTTCCCGTCGACTCCGCTGTGTTTTAATCTCGATAGTTTGAGCCATGACATCGCCCACTGCCCACAGAAGCCCTGAAGTAACAACCTGCGTTCGGACCGGTTGCCTCGCCAAGCTCCCTTGATACCAGCTCCAAAACCCTCGCAGTCCTCCCAAAGCGCCGGCCATTTTCTCGAGGTCAAGATGCAAAGCCGAGCTCGTCAAAGCCCAACCTCGCTTTCCTCGCGAACACCACACTTCCCCCCAAATTAGATGTTCAAGCGATCGACCAACAAAGTGTTTCAATTACTGAACCACAGCGAGCCTCGATGATTGTTCGTTCATTCTCTATAATCCAATCAAACAGACGCAGATGAGAGAAAATCTGCGCAAGCTCTTTCAACGACGTTCCAGCTCGTGGCGTGCAACCAACCACATTGTTGGCCACCGGAGCCCTCCGAGACTGCGTACACCCCCGATTACCATCACACGAAGCTCCAGCAGCTGCCTGCACATGGACGCAGCTCCTTGTCTCTGCCACAACAGTCCAGATCTGTCCTACACGTCAACTTCTGATGCCCCTAAGGAAGTTGGCTGCTTGCGGCTATGTCAGAAGCGGATCCCACGTCATGAATTTTGACTTCTTCGTAGGCTACCGTCGTGCATGGATATTCCGACTTCTTCATTTGTGTTGCCCTAGGCTGCAAATGCCTTCTTGGCCAAAATGCAGTCCTGGATACAGAAGTTGTAATCAAGTAAGCTGCGCGAGAAATGTAATATGAGTATATGCAAGACGGAAACGAAGGTGAAGGAGGAGCTCCTCCCCTCACCTTCCCTTCACTCTTTTCATACTCAAAAAAACTACTACATTTGGTATGAAATGTTGTAGATTCTTACAATGGAGGTTGTAGATCTACAATGGAGGTTTGCGTGATGAGTGATTTACTTCACTTTCCTAGAGGAGTGGCATCCTCTTTACCCATTTGAACAAGGTTAGATAAGCAAGTCACTAATTAGAATTCAACAGTTTTTCTTCATGGGAGGTATTCTCACTTTCTGTCGAAAAACGAAAAGATTGAAGGGCCATCTACGTGAGGATTTCCGCAGTCCCTCTCATCTCTATTCTCATCAAAATTGCTTGTCGCCGCATATTATCAGCAAGCTGCACCTCACGTGTGCCTTAAAAGCAGCATACCCAACAAGATATCGACCTCTGTAAGAACTTCGTACAAGTGTGATGGGATCAGCTGCATGTCGTCCCATCGCGTCATCTGCTTCCCGTACTGGCTCCCCGAAGCGGACGTGATGTTGACATTGTACAGAGAAGTAAGACCGTGCACAGTTTTGCTTTCGACGATGGCCAGGACATTGTGAGCTCCATCTGTTCCTGGTAAACACTGCGGATTGTGAAGCGATGGCAGTGCTCGGCAATTGCACCGGCGCATTCTAAAGAAAGAAGACAAAATCAGTTTTGACTCCCTACAATTGTGGCGACTGTCGAGCGTTTTGAGTCGCGCGTTTTATCACGGTCTTTGGCTTTCTTCTCCAATCGACATGCCACGAAAAACTAGAGGACTCTGAGTTTCAAGAATTGCTAACGGCGAATCAAGACAACGCGTTCGGACCTGAACGCTCTCAAGACGAGAACGCAGTTTTGCTCGTGCTCTCCGCCGAATCTTACGAGAGTACGAGCAGAACTCTTCAATCCTCCCGAAGATGGGGCCCCACAGCGGCCTCTTGTTCTCTACCAGTGTTCGACAGACCCGTCCGCCATTGTTTCTTGTTGAGGGTAGGACCAACCTTTAGAACTGACCATGGCGGCCGGAACAAAGATACTGCAAAATGCACACTGTTGTGTGGGGATTCTTCCAAGCCCTTCGAGTTCAGTGAGCTTTTCTCCAGAGCCCGCGGCCGATTTGGTGCATCTGAAAGAGACCGAATCTCGGGGGGCCCCATACCGACCCAACCCCGGCCTCGAATATGTTGCGCTGCGTCATGTGTGACGGACATGTCAGACATGTCAGACATGATCGAACTTTAGATCAAGCGGAATGCCAAATCTTCGAGAATTCCGAAGGAGAACCACCTTCTCTCCTCTACGATTGTCAAAGATTGATGGGATTTTGAGGCCTTTCGGGGAAGTCGGTGAAGGTTTCGGAATCATTTGCAACGGCAAATCTCGAGGCGTGCAGGAGAAGTAAGACGTGACGAAATGCGGAAAGGAGTTGCAAGTCGAGGAACAAAGGTTGCTGTGTCGACCGCAGCAACGATGTGGCTTTTGGCTGTGGCGTTGGTACTTGCAATCGGGGTGACGACGGCGATGGATATCACATGTCCTCCCGCGTTCTTCAGTTTCGGCACTTCTTTGAGTGATACAGGAAATCGAGCTCACGTCGATTTACCCGTAAAAGATTTCTCTCAGCTCCCTCCCTACGGAGTGCCATACTTCGGCGTCCCCAGCAATCGATTTTCCGATGGACGCCTCATTCTAGACTTCTTCGGTCCGTAACAATCACTCCGTTCTGTCTCAAAGGATCACCCGTTTCGCAATGTGCACCCCTCGGATCCACTCCGAAACTCCATCCTCTTCCCAATTTGAAAATGCTTCAGCGTGCATGGGCTGTAATGCCGTGGATGGCTACAGTTTTCTACCAGTGAGTATGTTTCGAGCAGAGCCTCCAGAACCGCCACATTTGATTGACCTCATGATGTCGTTCATCCCTGCAGCAAGCGCATTCGGGTTTCCCTTCATCGAGCCCTTCCTGACAGACGATGCTCCTGACTACACCCGCGGTGTGAACTTCGCGTTCTCCGGTGCATTGGCATTACCTTATGGTGTTCCCTACTACTTCGAGGTACAAGTGAGCCAGTTTGCCACCTTCAAGGCCCGAGCTTTGTGTGAGTACAAGCTTCTCTAGCCTGACGGGAGATGATGTTCAGCTAGTGACGTTTTGAGCGGCTTTCGAGGCAGAGAAACGCATGACGGATTTGGTTCATCAAAACCATACTCCGCTTCTCGTACTATTGAATTTGTCATTCAGTACAGTTTATTTGTTTATCTGTACAGTCCGTCTGAGATTTGCTCTTTTGGACATTGAAGCCGAGATGCTCGACCTGAAATCTGTTGCTGACGTCAGGACGAAAATTGCAGATTGACGAATTGCACCGTCTGACCAAATGCCGGATGAATTAATTAGCTTTGCTAGCTATCTTTTTTGAGGCCTTCAACTTCCTGACACCAGGTGAAACTGACAGCGAATTGCTGTTGTCGTGGGGTGCCGCTGCCTACAGCATCGCATACATTTACATCCGACTATCCGGGTTTGGACAAGTTCGATCAGGGCATGTACATGGTCTTTTTCGGAAGAAACGATTTTACAGATGCATACGGGATGCAAAATTTGACGACGAGTGAGGTCCTCAAAAGAATTGTGCCCTTGCTGGTCCGAGTGATCGTCGATCACGTCCAGGTACGAACGACGATGCAAGCGCAACCTCGTTCATGAACCGTCCGTCCATAGGCCAGATGCTCATCCGAGGCACATGCCCCGGAATTCCGAGATGTCAGCGTTGATATCGGAGTGGACTTTGCAGGAGCTTTACGACGATGGGGCTAGAACCTTCATGGTGTTCAACGTCAACCCTCAAGGATGTCAGCCCCAGTACCTGACTTTGTTCGCGGACAGGCACTCCGAGCGCGATTCCAACGGATGTCTGGCAGCGTACAATCGCGTGATCCGAATCTTCAACTCGCGTCTGTGGAAAGCCGTGCAAAATCTGCGCAAAACTCTGCCCGACTCCATGATCTTCTACGCAGACTTCTACGGCGTCACCAAGCAAGTCTTGGACCACCCTAAAGAATACGGTAAGCCCTCCCTCGGCTCTCGCACAAATTTCCACTCTTTTCCCTAAAAAATAATCCTCTCCCGACTTCACGATACTCTTGCACCTTTCATGATCCAATCTGTCGTGAGGGTGAGAGAGGCTGAATCAGATTAGGTTCAGAGAGGGTTTGGGCAAGACATACTGCACCAATCTGTCATAACCAACTTTGGTCATGTAATTTGTCGAGAGCTGAATTGAAATTCGGTGCAGTTTGAACAATCGATGTCATAATCCTAGATGGACGATTTGTCGGTTAATCGGTTGTCAAACCCAAAACCCCGTCGTTGGCACCTTGGTCAAAGAAAGATGCAAGACTTGTCCAGTCGAACAACGAACACGCTACATCGTGCAATCTCTTCGGCCGAATCGATGGGTTCCTCACTATACTACTAGGGCGAGCTCGTGTTCTCCTCTTGGATTTGTACCCTGTCCGGCTTTGATCGGGTCACCCAATCGTTTCTTTTTATTTCCATGTGCCCTCATCCTTGATTCGATGAGTTTCCAATCAAGGGTAGAAGATGAGCGAGCTTCCATGGCCATGCAACCCCGTGGCAAATGCACGAGTCGATGACATTATTTTACCCCAGCTGCGCGAAAACTGCATCTGCTGTCATGGGATAGACCTTCATACTTGTGCTGCCAGAGAAACTAAAGCCAGTCTGCCATTACGAGAGGGTCACGGTTACGAGATTTCTGATGCCGGATATCGGATGCAGGATTTGCGCCGGATAAGACTTTGGTGGCGTGCTGCGGAATTGGCGGCGAGTACAAGTACGACCCGCCGAGGAGATGCGGCACTCGAGGGATGGTGAACGGGCAGTGGGTCGACGAGAGCAAGGCTTGCTCCCGACCTTCCGACCACGTCAGCTGGGACGGCGTCCACTTCACCGAAGCGTTTTACAAGCACGTTGCCACGCAGCTGCTGACGGGCCGATTCCTGGACCCTCCCGTCGACTTCCTCAAAACGTGCAACCTCGACTTCACGCCCTTCAATCAGCCCCATGCGGCTCTCTATTCTCGATAGCAAGCCAGATGCACCTGGAGCTCATGCATCATCCATCGAATCATTCAGCAAGTTCGACTTTGGTCGTCATTCAAAATCCATCAAAATTTCACTTGTTGAATAGTCATCCATTGTGATCTTGATTTACCATTGATATTGAAGGTGTATAATATTATGAAATGGACTCATTTTTTTTCGCCGTGGTTATTGATCTTTTCTTATGTTGACTTTCCAGACGTTTGTCTGTTTAATTATGTGAATATCCTCAGAGTTAATATGTGCGGAAATATATGTTGACTCATGTATGCTATTGAGATAATGCATGAGAATGTAGTTTATTTTAAAGATAATACTATCACTTTACCTTTGGTACAGGGTGGATAAGTTAGGCAATTTGTGTACATTACTCCACACTATATGCAACACCAGATATTTTAATTGTTTGTAGTTAATTTGAAACTTCCAGTCATTTTTTGACACATTCAAATGGTGACACATCGATTGCACATGTTTCTATGTCTTGTACTAATTGATTGGACTTCCTGCGCTTCCTTCTAAACAAGTGTCCCAAACGAATCCCTCAAAGGTTTCCTGGAAAGAATAAGGAACAATAAACTCATGGGTTTATGTGATATAGCTGGAGGAAGTCTTTCTTGGTTAGTTTATATATTGTTACCTAAAGTGCAGTTGGGTTTTTCACTTTTATGGAATTTCGGAAAAATTATGCAACCCAATGAGGGTAGGGATTGATAAAGTGATTAGATGCGAACATTGCAATCTCCCCACCATGAGATCTGTGCAAGGTTTCTTCCGAAACCTTTTTTTACATAGGAGTATGGTCCAAATGCGGCCCTGAATCCGAAAAGAAATTCAGGGTCCGATTCGGAGTTGCACGTGTGCATCTTCCTCACTTCGATCTTCTCTGCCACGAGGCGTACTTGAAATCTCGGCGAGCTTACGTTTGTGGTCGATGTTGTCTCCGCACCATGGCTGCCAGTGAATGTACGTGTGTTTGCACACCCGATGGGTTTAAGGAAATGTGTCGTGGAAGCTCGAGAGGTTCGTGTGCATCCTTCTTCCATCCTTCACAACATCTTCACCAGACCTCCATGTAATGTAATACCCTGCCACGTGTGTTTGTACACGGAGCTGCTTGACTCGGCAGTGCTTCTGAGCGCCGCTGATTCTTCGTCTGAAATGGAAGTCGGAAACACGAAATGCAGAAAAAGAGAGAGACAGAGACAGAGGACCCCAAAGGCTTTACGAATCGATCGACAAGCGTCAGCGATGGACACAATCCAGATCGACTACGAAGGGGACGAGCCAATGACGACGGCGTGAGCTGGCTGGAACGATGAAAATCGAAAGCCGAGTCTCGCGAGGAGCCGGCGGCCATTTCAGCTGCTGGGCAGAACGGAGCTCATCCAATTTGCCAATTATAATAAAAGGAACAACGAAGTCCATGAGCCTTGCGAGCATGTGTGAATGGAGCGATCGAGTTCGGGCACACCTGTCCTCCGATGGAACGAGATCCGGACACGCCGAGACTAGCGTCGAAGCATGCACGTCGAACGTGGCAGCCGCCGCCGCCAGCATCCTGCTGCTCGTTGTCCCGGCGTGTATAATCCCATGCCATGCCTCGGACCCAGAACAGAGAGTGCCCCATCTGCCTCTTGAACACACAGACAGAGTCAGCCACCAGCAGCAGCAGCCGCAGCAGCAGTGTGGGCGTGATTACGAGCTTGGACACGATCGAACCGACTGGACGGGAACGCCAAGGCCGACGTGCACTGACAGAAGCTCTGTGAGAACACGTGAGGTGCGCGAATCTCCTCCCTCTATCTCGATGTGGCTGTGCAAGTCTGTACTCTCTGTGTGCTGCTGGAATGTCGAACTCTTCGTCCACTCAGGAAATTGAGCGTCGTTTGTTATCGAGAAACTCTTCGTCCACTCAGGCAATTGAGCGTCGTTTGAGCATGAGACTGGATGCAGTTGTGAATGTGTGCGTGATTATAAGTAAACTCGCACCTTGGCTCGTAGAAATAGCGACGATTCGAGGCAACATTTCTCGTCTAAGAAGCCAGAACACGATGCCGGAGTCCAACAGTGTGTCCGTCGGTCCGATGCAGGAAAGATGCCGGAGGACAAAAGCATAAACCAGTCGAGGCTCGGAGTCGACGGAGCGGGAGGAGTGAAGAAGACGGGACAGTTCCTCAGTCGCTCCAATGTGCGCGTCTACTACGTCGGAGGAATGGCCGCTCTCGGTAAGTACAGTACCCAGCTCTCGCAGTCCCGCCAAATTACCCGCCAAATTCGCTGCTAAATCCAGCTCCTGGCACGGTCGAAATGTGACTGCAACAGGATTGGCCTGGTTTTTTACGTCGTGGCAACCGATCTCCTCCAAATTGGACCCGGTGACTTCGAAAGCTGCGGATCTGAGCAGAGGAGGCAAACTTCCCACCGGGCCGTCTTCCGAGGCTACGGAGGGTCCGAGGCTGCAGACGGGCCCCAAAGTCCCCAGTCCGCACGGAGGCGTCGCCGCCGCGCAGAGCGAGGGCGCCAAGCCCAAGTTCTGATGAAGCAAGCCACGAGAAAGAATCCAGATGACCGATGATCGCCGGTCCGGTCATCGATGGGCGACCGTGATCATCGGTGGCTCGATGCAGGGACGGAGATTTTGCCCCACCTTGAGTCGAAAGTCAAGTTGTTCCCTTCGTTTGTGAGAGCCATGTCTGTCACTTCGGAGTTGTTGGGAGGTGACGACCATTGCTTGGGACTGTCCAGATTGGATACGGATTCGAGACTTTAGAATTTCAGTCGTTGTAACCGGGGTTTCGTGATCCATACGCACGGTTGGGTTAACGTTAACATTGGACCCACACTCTTTATCATTTTGAGATCAATCTACTCTCAAAATTTGTTGTAAATGCTGCTTATTACAAGAGAAGCTTGTTGCTGAAGCGGCTTCGTCTCATGCTTCATGTCAATAAGAAAAGCCCTCGAAATCCAGGCGACAGTTGTGCAAGTACAGTAAGGGTTCGGCCAAAGTAGCATCGTCTGAGAGTGAACTGAGTTTACTGACTACGAAGGTCTTGCTCGCGGAAGCAAACGAGTACGATTGCTACTGACAGGGAAGTTCTGCATTTGATTGAGGGCGATTGTATGAGAATGATCTAATATCCGGAAGAATTTTGGAACCCCGTGATGATGATGCGTCCCAAGGTGCACTGTGCAAGTCTCGAACGCAAGCGAAGACCTCATCTTCACATCCATCCGCCCACAGATTACTAACGAAGATCGTTATCGACGGTTGATGTTGCCCTGAGTCAGTCTCATGCGCTTCTTATCCTCGAAATAGTTTATTTGCTCCATCAGTTCTACGTCAACGAGATGGCGCCCCAACATCCGTAAACCAGATCCTTCATTCATTCTCGCCTCGGCCTCGAAAGCCATCTGCTCGGCTCGATTCTGGCAAATCGTGCAATATCTTGGTGACATTGCTGGCCCCGAAAATTCTATGCACATACGCAAACATCAAAGGCTGATCTGCAGGAAAGTAAGTAAGGTGCGAATACGCATTCGGCCGTGCATTTCCATCGTAGAAATTTACATGCTGCGCTCGAAGAGCTCCCTCCGCTAATGTGGGACATCGTGTGAACTGGCGATACCTCGCGTGCGGGTCGACAATCTGAGGTATATTGTGACATTGTAAACTATATGTGAAATCAACGCTCTTTAATTAATTAAGAAAAAAAAGAAAAAAAATTTGGAATAGAAAAAACAAATGAATCAAATATGTCATATTTTACTTTTCAATCTGTATCATTGGATATTGAAAAAATGACTAAAGATGTTGCTTTTAAACCATATATTTATTGATCAACTTGAATTACCCGCCAGAGCAACTTGGCATAATATTCAAAATAAAAATTATTTAGCTAATAAAAAAAATGAAAAATTGGATTTAAATTATGATGATCCAATTTTAGTAAAAAGTAAAGAAAATTCTAATGATTTAGTTAAAAAGAAAAAATTAAATTATTGGCTTATTTATTTAAAACGAATTTTGTTAGTTACAAAAATTTAATTGTTCACTTAGGAATTCGCGGATTAAAAAAAAATTAAGAAATTTTTTTGAGGTTTTAGTCAGGTGGAAAAAAAAAAAAAATTTTAATTCTTGTGTAGTTAGATATTTTCAAATTACAAAAGTTCTATCATTCTTCAATTCGACGCCTTTTGAGTTAAGTAGGTCTTTGGAGAGCACAGAACGATGAAAGTTGTAACCTGTGTTTGGGGGGGAGTTATTGTCTATCAAGGCCTCTATGGTAAAATAAATCAATAAAGTCTAAGAGACGATGCCTAAAAAAAATATTGATTGCTGTTTTCTCCGAACCACAATTCTGAAATTTCCGCGCATCTTGTTAGTCTTGAATGGCTAAAGAGAAAAGATTGCTTTTGGAAAAGGCTTCTAGAACACCAAGCTTTTTGCATGGTTGAAGATATTTTCGAGGTCCGAAGGTCGAGACCGGCGGGAGAGTCTTTTGCGTACTCGAGATGACGAATTAAAGGTTCAAGATTGACGAAAAAAGCATATTTTTATATAAAAAATAATCTTTCTTTATTTTTTGTATACGTTTACTAGCTTTATATGCTTTTTCTAAAGAACTCAATTCCAAATTTTTAAAAAGTGATAAAAATGGAATTGAAAAATGCATTAGCTATTCATGCAAAAATAAATATTTTAGGGTGTTTAGAAAGTCACCCCGTTTTCACGGTTTAGGCTGTTCCCATTTCGCTTGCCGCTACTACGAGAATCGCTTTTGCTTTCTTTTCCTCTGGCTACTAAGATGTTTCAGTTCGCCAGGTTGTCTCTTGTCTGCCTATGAATTCAGCAGCAGTTTCAAAGGTTAACCTATTCGGGAATCTCCGGATCTATACTTATTTTCAGCTCCCCGAAGCATTTCGTCGCTTGCTACGCCCTTCCTCGTCTCTGGGTGCCTAGGTATCCACCGTAAGCCCTTTTTCGTTTGAACCTCGAATACTGATGTAGCTCAGCTGCTTTTAGTATATACATATGATTGATTAAAAACAAAAATTTAAAGTTAGACAAACTGTAATGGAAAGTTTTCTTTCTGTCCAGGTGCAGGTAGTCCGCATCTTCACAGACATGTCTATTTCACCGAGTCTCTCTCCGAGACAGTGCCCAGATCGTTACGCCTTCGACTCCCTCGCCCCGTTACTTGGAGATTGATTCCTGAAACGCCCGGCTCACTATCATCATGCGTCCGAAAGATGGTGTAACCTGAACTTTTGCTGAGGTTACACCGGAATCAGCTTTAGGTGGTAGTTTGAAGGTAGGTGTGACTTTCCATAACGCAATATCGTCATCAGTCTGAACGATTCTGAACGATTGGAAACCTGCAAGGAATAATAATTATTTTAAAGAAAAGGTGAATGTCAAAAGGTTAAAGGATCCAGATTTCAAATTCAGACCTGATTGCCTCTAGGGACATCTATCAGGTGTTGCATGACATCACTTGGAGCTAAAGAATTGTACATATGTACTGCTGTTGGTAACTCACTCTCTGCTACTCCACTATACACCCATTTCAAAGCAGCATGGCATGATTAGACCAATTAGACCATATCGATATAGCTTTAGCGACTATATTTGCAGATAAGAATTCCAAGTTGTGTGTAAAAGTTACCTACACGGGTGTTGATGTCCAGGAATCGAGACGATATTGAACAAATATTCAGGAAAATTTGGTTTTATGGGAGAATGGATTTCAGCTATGGTGTGAACAACACAAAGCACTCGACAGTAATCTTTGCCACAGAACTCTGAGCAAGAAAATGAGATATGATTAATCACGAAGCATTTTTTTATATAATTGATAACTCAGTACAATGTTATGTCCTTACCAAAGCTTATTTCCCAAGTGTATTAAGCTTAGTTTGCGTCCTTTGTACCACTTCCGCTGACAGTAAAGACCTTTATTTTCCTTCCTCTTTCCACCTTTGTCATCAGCATGTTGACTATCTTCGTCACGGTCGCTAGCATCTCTATCGGCATGCCGTCTTTTTCTCTGCGGTCGTCTTCGTGATCATGTTCCTCGTCCTTGTCATGGACGTCTGGGTTGTTCTTTTTGGTGTGCGCATCGTTGTATTCGTAGCACTTACGGGTCATCGTATGCGGAAGAGGCTTCGACGGAGCTGCACATCTGTGATGCCTACGATCGCTATCAGAAGCCATGTGGTGGACTTCCCGCTGCCCATCTTGCCCTACAACAGATCTGAAGACTGTGAGCTCAGCTGGATGAATTAGATAATATACTAGCGTGAGATCGAATTTCATGATTCAAATGAGTAAGCTGCAATCCCTTATGTATGATCTAAGCAGTCCCTTATGTATGATCTAAGCCACGACTAGTTGGAGAAGAAGCAAAGTTAAGTGATTTCACACGGTGACGATCAATACAGATCCATATAGCCACTATCTGTAGCCACTTCTCCGGGCCCAAATTCCCGTGAAAAATGAATTACAGAGAAATTGAACGACATATCATCAGAGCTACTGTACAATACGCATTCGAATATAACCTACAGTCCCACAAATGCGTCAACGTCAAGCCTGTAGATGGGAGCACATGCCTGACAAAAGTCTAAGACTCTAACGAAGGAAGTGCTTCGAGCACCATGGATTTCCTTAGCAGACGGAGGCGTATCGGAGATGTGAAGAAAATTCGAGGCATGTGTTCAGATGTATCTCCACGTGCATCTAAATAAACTTCCATTCTCCACGCTGCATACTTAAGAAGTTAATTCTAGATTTTTTTCCCACGCTTCGCCTTTGGCCGATCGGTGCACGCTAATTCTCGTGTCAGAGGTCCACCTGGGACTCGGATGAACTTGTGATCTGAAAATTCGAAGCCTACGAGTGAAGTAAAAGGCGTACCTGATGCAAACCTTTCGATTACTGATTAGAATGATAGACACTCAGCTTTCTAAAATTCCAAAGGCGAGCTTTAGACTGAAAGGCCTATCGAGGGTTTAAACATTATTTGCGTGGCTCATTTTCGTGTTACCTCCGAGTCCGAGCCGAGACAGACTCCTATTTCCGAAGGAGTGACGGGGCGTTGAGACAAGATTTCGCAAGAGCCAGTTGTTCTCCACCACCCTGCGCCATACAAGTCTCCGTTTCTTTTGTCTGATTGCAGTCTTGTCGGAATGCTCTAATCAGAAGAAGAATTCCAAGTGAAAACGCCACAACTCGGACAAAATCTTCATCCATACACTTGAGCCAAGAGTGATGCTATGTAGTCTCGCTCCGGCTTGGCTTCTTACAGTGGTGGGTCCTTCACTGCGCCACGCACAAGATAAGTGGTTGTACAGATCCATCGGCAATCGGCAAACAGCAATACGAGGAGACGAGACGAGACAATTACCTCGCAAGATCAATGAAAGTGAGGTCCTCTGCTGAAATCGGGTTACATCCATCCAACCACGTTGAAGTTGATTTGATACATTTGAATTTGCGTCGAAGACGTCAAATGGGTTAAATCATCGAGAAACCTCTTCACGAGTCATTCGTCGTAGAAGAATCAACTCTGCCTGATCCATCTGGAAGGTTTGCAAGGTAGAGAGCCAAAGTATCTCGTTTTGCTAGTGCTTCTTCTGAGTCTTGGAAGCCTTCCGGAAACTCGGCTTCCAGGTCCCCAACTCCTTGTAATCTGTGCGCACTCTGCTGAGTTTTAAATTCCGCATGGCTATGGCTATCGAGCTGAACATCTTTCCTCGTTACGAGAATGTTATGAAGCACACAGCAAGCCCCGATCACCTGTGGGACTAGTTCGATATCTAAAAGGCATGGGGTAGCCAGCTCTCGAAATGTACTCTTCAAGACTGCAAAGCTCTGGTCAACCAATTCTTTCCCTTTAAGTAACATCTCGTTGTACCTGGACTGCATCGGCCCGAGACTTTCTCCCCCTCCTGAACTAAGCTTGTAAGGTGTCATAAGCCAGTTCAGACAGGGATATCCTGCGTCTCCCAGGAGATAAGGCTTCACCTCTATGGAGCAGGGGGATGGCGTGGTCGGATCCTCAGTGAGTAACGCACCACGGCTGATCTTTTCGAACAGACTGGACGATCTCAGCACTCCAGAGAAATCCATAGAACCTGCCTGTCCTACATACACAGATGTGAATTTCCTTTCGTGATTACAAACTACCTGCAAGACAACGCTGTACTCCTGGTTGGCATTCATGTAAGCCCACGGATCCTCCGAAGGTGCCACAATAGGAATGTCGCATCCTCCAACCACACCGGCACAGTTTGGAAATCCACAAACCTCCTGTATCCCCATGGTCGTTGCACGAAAAGCTTGCCCTCTCGGCCATTCAATGTACTGTGCCAAAACCTCAATGATTCCAGGTATGACCTGCCTCAAAATACTGTATAGAGTACTCCTCCCGATCCCAAACTTGCCCATAATCTCCGCTGATCGACAACCCGTGACTAACTTGTACACGCACGCTGCCAGTCTACAAGGAACGGGAATCGCTTCTCTGTAGTTTGTGTCATTCTTCCTGATATGAGGAGCCATCTTGCCACATAGCCAAAAGAATGTCTGCTGCGACATCTTCATAATTTCCTGCCATTTGCCATTGTCATAGAGTTCTAGGAAAAACCTGTAGAAATAATATCGACTTTTAGGTCTCACCCAGGTTCCCTCTTCAAGTTGCATGAACTTGGCATAGGCTAGACAGGTTTGTCTGTTCATCTGGAAAAACTTGAGCATGTAATCATCGATGCGAAGTTCAAAATCGCGCAGCGATTGCAAAGAAAGTGGGGTGCTTCTGCTATGCTGCATTCTGTTGCCCTCAAATAATTCTGGAAATAATTGGAGTGCTTGTTGCAAAATGAAAACGACTTGAAGCACAAGGACCATGAACCTTCTCTTCAGGTCATCGGATGCCGGCCGTACATCTACATCAGCAGGATAAATTGCATCAATCTCACCATCCAGCGCTTGCCCTTGTTCTATAAGAGAATCGGTTAGACGGAGCAGCTGCTGCACTTGACTTTCGTCATAGGGCTCAGCCATGGAATCTGGACTGCATTCTAGATCCCGCATCTCTAGGTCGGGTTCTGCCATAACCTGCACAAGCAGCATCTCTCACCAATCAGTCTTGTCAACAGAATGCACAGCCTGATCAGGTATCTTCTCTAGCTGTTTATTACGTTGTTTATAGGGTTGTACAGTTCAGAAAGTGCAAGTAAGTGCGAAGTAACTGTAAATTCTCCATAATTGTCCGACTCAGGATGGGATTTTACAAGCACAAATTATGTTACGCTTCATCCGGTAATGACCAAGCAAATGAAAACATGACTGAGACAGAGAGCAAGTATACATGCTTTTGTGCAACTATATATATTTAACAGACACACAGAAATCAAAAAATGGCCGAAGAGATGCAGCTCAAAAAGCGATGTGATAGCGGACACAAACTTGAAGCAGATTGATAAGGAAAACACGGGTAAGTTATTATTAAGAAGCGTGACGAAGAAGTGACAAAAATGAATGAAGAGGACAAGGTCCGTAAACACAAAGTAAAGCAATCTTGGACTAACTACGTGCGTTCTGGTCCAGAGCGCAGAACATAAAACATAGAAATCAACAAACCATACGTTAAGGATCCAGTTCAGACTGACATCAGCAGAATTCGAGTTCCAGAATGAAGAAACTACACTACCTTGGTTACTGAAGCAAAAGCATAGCGATCTGAAACACCGATTCAAAATACATATATTTATCCGCTTCCTCTTCGAAAGTAGGACAACTTGAATGTGAATTCACCAATATCTTCAAGAAACCTCTCACGAAACAAGTACTGATGCACGAAATGGGAACAACAAATGATAAATGATTAGATATCACAAGCGTCATCTCTGAAAACCTTGAAAGTAAGGATGTTATATTTTCAACAGCATTCGGTTTACATAATAAAGCAAGGTGTCTTTGAGCTGAGAAGTCCAAAGACTAATAAAAGTTGCACAACTTACTATGGTGGCTGATAAGCACTGTGTAGACTCCACCGCTCTGTGGACAGAACAGCCGTCCCTGCACGGGACTTCCTATGCATAAATTCGTCTACTTAACAAAGCGAATTCGACCTGTAGCTATGAAGAGCTTAGCTACGGGTTAACACATGTCATTACCCTACGAACTGCTAGAACATTGAGCATAACAGGCTGCATTTATGGAGATGGGAATAAACGGACCAAAACAAAACCTTTACCTCTAAAACAAACGGTTGCTCGAACCCTCAAAACCATGAAGTCCAATAGAGGTTTACAAGGTCAAAAATACGAACTTGTAAGAGCGTAAATAACTAGAATCGGCAAGTACACCAACTACAAGGAAGGAATGAGCAGAAAAAACCCCATACTAGAGACTGAAAACCAAAGATCCAACTTTTACAGGGAAAACAGTAAACAAAAGTAAAACTCATTCCTGTAATCGATTCAAGTCTTTCGGCCAAAAAACGTGAAGGTACAGCGTTCACTCCCCAAGGCCGTATTGCGCTCCAAAAAGTGGTGACATTGATTCACAACGTTACTTTGCATCAAAATTGTTATAGCCTGACAAATTAAATCTTGTTGGCTAGCTTATCAAGAACCTCTATAATTGAACACATCGCGTTCGCAATTTTCTCTCTATCTCTACACATGCTCTCCCTATCCCTAGTCTCCAACTCAAGCTTTCGCTCTTCTATTTGTAATTTCCGTTCCTCCAGGGCAAGCACAAGTTTAAGCTCTTCCCTTTTGTCGTCTCTTTGTACAGTCAGTGCTTCTACAATCGACTTATTTGACTCCTTTAATAGCTCTAAAAAAGCATCAGGTCCTCTACTCTTCCTCCTTTTGCCCATATTTCCTCTCAGAAGATCTCCTTCTCCAAAGGGTCTTCTCCCAGGCCTCAGACCATAATCTCCTCTCTCTGCTGGATTCGTACTGACATCATCACTAACTGCTGTTCCGTTTGCATCAATCAACTCCTCAACTAAGGGGTCGACGTACGATTTGTGGACGTCGTGAGGATTAGCTGAAGGTGCTCCCTCACACATGGTATCGAAGCACTTACTATTGCGGTTCACATTTTTCTGACCCAGAAAAGAGTTTAGCATGTCCCACAGCCTTCTATCGAATGAAGTTGGCAACCTTTTTTCATTCTTCTCTTCTTTGGACATCATCCAATACTCACCCGACCCAGCTTCACTATTGCTGACCTTGATCTTCTTCCAACTGTTATAAAGAGCCTCCCACTTCTGTCTTATTTGTTCCACAGACCTTGCTCGGAATAAGGAGCTCTCTTTCATATATTCCTGCACCTTAGTCCACTTATCCGTAGTGCTGGTAAATTTGAGCAAACTGCCGTTTTCTTTCTCCTCCCATTCTCGCTTTTTGGCTTCAACTAGACGCACCGTTTCCTCCCAGGTCCAATTTTCCGCCCTTATTCTTTTCTCCTTTCCCTTGTTTGCATTCGATTGGGCCGGCACTAAAGCCATAACAGAAGAATCTGGAGGAGATTGCCCTTCGCAACATTCGAAGCCTGCAATGTGGCATGTAATCGAAACGAGCTCAAACTTCCATAGATTCCGCTCACAAGTTTAGGCACCTTTATCCCGTCTTCTTCGAGAACAAGAACCCCGCCACTACTGACCTATACCCACCCCATCTCGTAATTCGAAAGCTCATGGTAATACAATTGAGACAGGATGCAAAACAGGCGTCGAGGAGATAATAGCCCACACAAAAAGAGCCACCAAGCAGTTCCATACCGGTCATCTTGAAAAGGAAACAGGGATAACTGGAAAGTGGACCTCAGCAGAGTATGCTAATTCGCCTTCCTGTCAAACAGCTAAAATGCACGAAATAACGATTTTTCAAAACTTTATCCAGCACGGACCGGATCCTGAATTAAATCTTCACCCAACACTGCAAAGCTTAGCATCATACACAGAAAAGGAGAATGCCAACGCGAATTACAGGAACAAGGGTCACAAGTGAGATCAACAAGAGCCTTCAGTAAGAGTGGCATAAGGCCAATGATCCTTCTATCAGAGCACAATGCATACGTCTGAAACAAAAAAGGAGATGATGGATAGAAAGTGCATTTTTTTATTATATCGATGCCGGGAAGAAAGGATGGCCGTTACAAGCTGCAAAATTTTATAGACTTCCCTTGAATAGTGGATGGGTGAAGATGAAGGTCGTCACCTTCATCTCGAATTATAATTTCCAAGGCACCAGTTCCGGTACGAGACTTTCAATATGTTACACAAAAAACAAACGTGTTATTACTCAACAACTCTACAAGAAGCCTGCTTACCTCCAGGAAATTAGTGTTATTCACCACTCTCCTTATTCACGCTTTGAGCCGTCTCCATGCACTTGTGCTTGCATCTTTCTGCCCTTCGTATGATGCAGAGAAAGAAAAGAGAAGATTAAGTGAACAGAATACTCAAAAGCAAAGCCCAGCTGCCTCATCTGAAACATTTGAATCAAAGATTGAAAAAACACTCTAATGAATCAAGCTCTATCTCCAGCGGAAAGTAAGAAGAATACCAGGCCTCGTGTAAAACATGCGGAAGGACTCCAGGCTGTCTGCGTCTCTCCTGAATCCCTTTTGAAAAGGGAGAGGAAAACTGTTAACACCCAACGGACTAAGTAGTTGACAATATGCACAACCCTATGAGGCAAGGCATCTAATCCAAGGTGCATCATCCACACCTTGCGCCAGTCAGGCTCAGCACTTACAGAGAATAAAGTTCATTTCAACTGAACCACTTCGTCTTCGAGAATACACTTGTATGGCAATGACCATTTGCACAATTGAGAATTTTGAGATACATGAGGATAACACGTCCCTTTTATTTCCTTTTATTTATTATTTCCATTGGTACTTATCTCAGGCCCTAGTAAACTGGGTCTAACAGCTTGGAATCTCTGAATACTCAAAGAGAAAGAAAAAAGGAATACCTTGATAACGTTGAAAAAAAATGCAAAGAACAGAGAGCGTAGAGTAGGAGGATATGATGGTCTTTGGAAAAAGGCAACTATATGATATTGGACCTCGAACTAAATGTTCACATTGGCGAATTTACATGACTCGAGTATGTTCTTTTAGAGAACTGCGAACTCAAAATCAGCATTTCGTGCTTTCTCGGAGTTAGATGATAGACGCACAGAGCTCGTCTGTCATCCGAATCTTCGGAGAGCTTCCAGAGCAGTTGCGAAGATAATCCAAAATTATATCAGGGCAAGAATGAGCACATACCTGTAACCATGACGCTCGAGCTCGAAAGGATCGATGGGCATGGAGAAAGGAGATCGCAGCTCTAAGAATCTTTTCCACGACGTGAAGAATCCAGCGGGACCGAAATTATTCCAAAAACCCTGAGCAAGAAATTCCTGCGCGTCACCCGACGGGAGGAGGACCGGCGGCAAAAGCTGGGGTTTATGGAGATAAGCCCACGGAAACCTCTCGCCCACAGAATGGCAGACTGTCTCCACTCTGACTCCCCAAATCCCAAAAACTGCTGCTCGACGCAATGCAAGGGCCCGTCAGATCGCGCACCTGAAGGCAAGAAGGAGCGAAAGGAGCGCCTGCTGCTGCCGCCGTGCTGTCCACAAAAGGGAGAATACGGCAGGAGCTATGGACGAGAAAGGCTCGCCGGCGGCACGTCCTGCTCACCGAAGACGAAGCGAAAACAGGGAACGGAATCCGATCGATGGGTCCCGACGATCCATCATCCCATCCCGCTCGCAGTTTGCATGCGCGCCCCGGCTGCTCTTGCGCAGCCACACGCGCCCGTAGCCTAGTCAACGGCCGTCGCATCCGCCCATTCCTCTCCGTAATTCCCTGTCTGCCTTCTGTCGGTCGCCGTGGGTTTTGCCGGTCCTCTTTCCCGGTTTCTGGCCTCCCGCTGTTCTTGGCTCTATTGAAAATCATATTTTACTAGTTTCGTTCTTTTTATACATAACATGTTCATCGATTCATGTTCATCCGTCATCACATTGTATTTTAATTAAAATCATATCACATTTGACTTGTTCATCAACAACAAAAATTAGCGTCATGTATCATTCATAATCAACTGTATTTCAACTAAAGTCTCATCATAGTTGACTCGTTCAAACAAAAATCATGTTTCGTTTATAGTGAAATTTAATTTGACTCATGTAGCACTTATGATCAAATTAAGTTTGGCTGAATTTCGTCAAGTGATAAATCTCATTAGCTTCACATGCACATTCATCAGACCTGCAACTTTTTCTAATCGCTTCCATCTAGAAAGAGGCCGAAGTTATCTTGTTGTATTTCGTGTAATTATTTTGCCTATCTTCTTACAAATGACTGATAGAAAGATGTCACCTTTTCTCGTCAAATAAGAATTTCTTTTTAGCAGTTCTTTTTATGAAGCCATGCTTCGGGGTGCCCTTGCGAGCTTTGGTGAGGGCGTCAATCGATGACCCATGACGGGCTTGCCACCCATGTCAATGAGTTTGAATTATTATGACTCGTGCGAAAGTGAAGGGACAAAATGCGAGAGTGTGGAAGCGGTGCATGTTGTGAGAGTTGTTGGTAGAGTACAGCAATCCAATCCTCCTTTGCTTGTGTATCATGCCCAAACATCCTTGGAAAGAAACTTGCATGATCGATGCTATCGAGTGTTCAATATTCTACCTCTTGTGACAACAACAATGATAATTTACAACTTGAGAGTGGGAGCCGTCACGACGACAAGCTACGTGATTCATGTAGGAAAGATGGAGATATATCGAATGTCACTACAAATTGTTTACTGTCTTCACGCTCCAAACAGTGAGAGGGGGTACAATCATGACGAGGAGCTAGATAAATTCATATGATTCTTTCTCAATCTGAAGCGTCTCGGATACGTATAAGATAAAATGATTTTTGTCAAGATCAATAATTTGTAGCGAGTTGCTTTGTACTTTGTCAAACACGAACATCCGCATGCAGATCCAATCTTTCATACGTAAGATACACATCTAGACAAGGCGACCTTATTAAAAGGGAGATGCTTGTAACGGGTCCCATTCCTCAGTCTTTCACTTTTACCTGTTTCAACTATGATGCTAACAAATGTCAACTTTGATAAGATTGTAATTTATCCTTACAATTATATGATTTTATACATTGAATATAAGAGAGAAAAGTCATAGTCAAACTTCATATTTGTCTTCATAATTTATTTATTTACAATAATTTACAATTTAAGATTTCTTTTATCTGCTATATAAAAATGATATTAAAAACTTGATCTATTTCAATATATGTTTACCAACATAAAAAATATTTATAATTATTCAATCTTATCCAAATAATTACATCTTTGGGGCAAAATCCTTCATCTTTTGTTTTACTTTTTAATCTATTATGCGACTTATCACTTGCATTGAATGCGCCAACAATTTTGTACAATTGATAAGTAACAATAATGTGTTTTATACAACTCTATATATTAAAAATACAACATATTTGCTGATTTTAATCTTTTGTACAATGACCACATTATTATCTTTGATGGAGGCAATATTTGATTCATGTTGATGCAATGATAACTTTAATTACTTATCCAATAAATATATTTTTGATGAAATCTTAATTATTAAAAAAACATGAATTTATGAAAAAATGTAAGTCAGATAGAATGTAATTTTAATCAATTGTAAATAATTAAAATATTATTCAACTTAAGAAAATACTATACACACATTACATAATATATAATGTTATCTGAAAAATTATAATCAACCTTAATGTCAATATAGTATATTCAAATAAAAATTAGTATTGTCTGCAATCTCATACGGTAAAATTGAGTAATTATGGAATTTTATTATTGTTATCATTGCCACCTAAAAAATCGTAATCTGTATTTATTAGTGTGCAAAAACATTATGATTATATTTCAATCAGAACTAGATGTTTATGATTTTTTTTGCACCAAGGAAATGTAATGAATATCAAAAAATAGTCTTTTTGTAAAGTTAACTTTATCATATTACGAATCAATTTTAAATTTTTTGAAATAAAATTTATTATAATGCAATTTAGAACAAGTAGTAGTAAATAGTCAAGAAATTAAATGTTAAGCGGTCAAAATATATTCAACTTTTATTCAAAAAAATCAAGACTCATAAGAAGTTATTCAATGTTTATAATAAATTAAAAATTGAATTTAAGAGATTTTATTTCATTTTTTAATTATGTAGATCATATTATTTATTTTAATTCAATTTGTTAACATCTTTTATTTTTTCATAAGAGTTAAAAATATTTCTATATTGCTTTCAATATATGACTTAAATATAATGAATGAATTCTGCATTGAAAATACAGTATTTGAAAAAAAAACTCATTTATCGATTTATATTTATTATTTATTATTCAGAAAATAAAGATTACCAGTATTGGACACTTATCATCTATTCATATTTCTTCACAATAATATTACAGCTAACTAACTAGCTAGCTAACTAACTAACTAATACTAAAACTAAGTAGCTCATTTGTCATTTTGAATTATGTCAAAATAACAAGCAAGTTAAACATGAACAATAAACAAGTTTTTAATGAAATAAAAAATATTTCATACAAAATGTAGACTAATTATAGTTTTAATTATCATTATCTTGTAATCTTTGCTTGTTGGAAATTTAAAATGAGCACATACATAATATATGATTATCAGAACCCTGAAATATATAACAAAAGAAAATATATGATTGTATGTGAATACTGATATGAAAATTACAAATTTTTTTTAAGTGATAAGTTGAGGAAAAAAATACTAGCAAACACTACATGCATACAAATGTTTTTTTAAGATTCAGGTAAGAAATTGAACGATTTTTAGGGTTCAAATTGAATAATATTTATATTATCATGTCATTTTCATTATTCTGACACGTTGAATAATCCAATTCATACTTCACATTATGATTGCATAAGATATTTGGACAAATAATAAATTATGATTGATAAAATTATTTTGAAATCTAAATATATTAATGAATAAATGTCATCAAATCACAATTTTTTATATCAATTATTTTTATTTTTATTTCAAGTTTATAGTTATTTTATCATTAAGCTCTTAAAGTTTTTATATTGAATTTGTAGTAATTAGTTTCTCGATTTTGATTTTTAAATTCTTAAATATGATTTCTACATATAAAATTCTGTAGTGTATTAAATTTAAGCTATACATTATTTAGAATGAAGATATGTTTCATTATAGTAGACTGTACATAATCGTCATATGCAAATCAACGTGTTGTGTAGATGAAAAATAAATATATAAGCTGACATTAACAATCCTTGTGCTTGTTTGATAAATATTTAGTGTGATAATAAAAAACTACACATCAATAATATATATTCTTGTTGTACGCCAAATCATAAGAACACTAAAAGAAGAATGGATATTAGAGATGAAAAGTTATATTATCATACTTGCTAATAAGATATTTACAAAGTAAAGAAGAACAATTATAGGTATTATTCATCTTCAAATGAATATTTCATCTTTAACTGAGCTTTGCTCTTCATTCCGAGTATTGCAATAGTGAAGACATAGTTCGTTTTGCATTATATATAATAATAAATATGTGTCCTTAAATTCAAATGAAATTTTCTGAAATTCTGCTATTAAAAAAATATTTCATGAACAAGAATCTATGTATACTATTTAATTTTTTTATTTGGTTTTATCATTGAAAATAATTTACAAACATTGTATTCTTGCTATGTTTTGTGATTTATCATCTTCTGATTAAAATAATTCCACTTGTTAAAATATATATATTTATATGTATATATATATGATATAAATATTTTCAGATTTTTGTTAGTTACTTGTATTTTTCATACATTTGTTAACAAATAAAAATAAAATGTTTACATATGATGTTATATTTGTGCATTGGCCCTTTAATGATGTACTACTTGTTTATATCAAAATATTAATGGTTAGCATTGCTTCAACGTTTTGATGTAAAAACCATTTGTTGACGTTATATTTATCTTAAAAAACATATCATGATACTTAAATTATAAGAAAGTTATTTTTTAGTTTGAAGATTGAAAACCGTAATACCGGAAGTAAGTTATCCAACATAGAGAAACTGGTTCAAAAATAATGACTAATTGTTTATTTCATAGAGAACGAAAGACAAATCACTACTCATAATGTAACAAATGATTTATTTTTAATATATGGTCGATAACTGATTAGAAATTTAACAATGTTGTAACTCAGAGGGATGTGTATGTAAAATGCTATAGAAGCTCACTACAAAAATTTAATATACTCAGAATTCATTGCATGCTAGTTACAAATTAGAATTAGAATTGTTTGAAAAGATAAAATTCATTAAATTCATTGACAATGTTATGTGATGCAATATCTGGAAATAAAAGAGTGTATTGAAGTAATCATTTCGTACATTAAAACATCATGAACATTGTGAAGAAGCAGTGTTTGTAATATTTAGGATGCATGTGATAAATTTGATTTAAGTTGTAGGTTTCGACGTGTAGAGCCTTCACCTGGCTTTGATCTAGGAGGGTTAAAAAGTTTGGAGACGGTGCTCTATCAATTAACCGATAAGTCATTGCAACAAAAACATTATCACTTTGTACTTTGTCTTTTTCTTCATTGTGCTCCAGGTAGAGAAGGCGAATTCTCTCAATCAGAAAACAATGCATGCGCAAGGTGTTTTGAAGCAAAACAACGTCTATGAAAATATCGTATATGATATTATCAACAAGTATACTCTCGAGAGTAAGTTTGAGCTGGGGGCTCTCAACATGCCTAACATAATTTGCAAAACTATTATGAAGCATAGCATAGCATAGCAAACTATTTTATAGCCATGGCCGACTAGACTACTACGAAGATGACATGTCATCATTCATAGTGTCGCCATGCCACAACACTCGCAGGCAACAGATGTCAATTCCAGAAATGGGAAGAGAATCTGAGGCGAGAGAAGGCCGGAGAGGGGGGTGTTGGAGGCCGACCTAATTGACTCGGCTGCGAGCAGCGGGAGGAAAAGCTTTTCAGGAGCTTGGAATGAGCCGAGGATGCTTACAGAGACTTACAGAGAGGACGGTACAAAGTCAACAGGCGAACACGAGGGTTAACACTGCAGAGTTTCCGAGGGGATGTCACACAAATATGCCAATATTGGAAGACTGGAGCTTAAAATAATCGAGCCTGCTTTTAGAAAGAGCGCGAGCTCTTTGGTACCTCGCTACATGATCTACATGATGCTTTTCAGATTTGGGTAGGTACCGTGAGCGTGTACACGAGCCATCAAAGTCATCTACTACACGCGACACAGATTACTATTGATACCCCAATCATGCGGACAAATGATACTACAGCGGCGGAGAGGGATTCAATCGATGTGTTGCTCGTTTTGAACACATCGATTAAAATTGCTATTTTAGAATCCGATGCAGGCGAGGGAAAAGAATTGCTCGAGCTCCTTATATAATGAAAACAAAACGCTTCAGAAGGCTCGGTAGACTAGCCTCTTCTGATTCGACACATTTGAAGGCCTTGCTGCTGCTGCTGCTACTACTACTGTTGTTGTTGTCTTGCCTTTCAGGCGCACACTGGACTGGCCCAGATGGATATGGTTCTGAAAGGAGCCATCCATATATGACAAGTCAATCAAATTTTCCTGCCAAGAGAATTTTCTCAACGACTAGAAGCCTATGCATGCGCAGGAGCTTCGACTAGATTGTTATTTAACCTATTGGCCGAAGCCTATGGAGGTGCTTCGTTCGGGCTTTGATGCTACACATGAAGGCCAAAATTTGCCCTGCATGGAAAGCTACACTACACTGTCCGACTAGGGGCCAACATTTCATAGCCATGGAACAGGCAAAACGATGAATGGAGATAAATTACAATCCAGCGTCTAATCTGCGTACTTAGCAGAAGATCGATGAATTAATGGTGGAAAAGCATGTTTTCATGCCGGTAAGTGTGGTGACCGGGCGAGCTGAATGAGGTTAGTCGCGTGATCATGCGCGATGCTCGAGCTTAAATTAACAATTACCCAGAACCTGCTCTCGTCTTAGGTCCTAAGCATGATCCAGGTATGCATAATGATGAGAGTAAGCTCATAATAATGCTTTCCAAATTCTCCTGGTGCATCACCAGCAAGTCATCATTACACCTCAATGATTACGAGTGACACCGGGATGGCTATTGAATTTCGAATTCTTTGTCACGCCTCTTTGGTGCACCAGATTTCTGCAGCTTGTAAGAGTGGCAATCTCCGACGTTCCCAGTCCAATCCGATCGCATGCCATACCATGCCATTCCATGCCCTGCCCTGCCATCCTCCTCGGAGCTCATGCATGCACTGAAGATAATCAATCATGTAGGATGTACAAGCCCAGAGGTGAGCTGGAGGGGCGAGGGTTTTCCAAAAGTTTCTTTTCTAATCTGATCACTCACAAGAGAGTTATGAAGGGGGCCATGGTCGCCAGGCCAAAGGGGATAAGGAAGTGAAGGCGGAAGATAAAGAGATGCCAGTGGAGTGAAGTGAACTCCTGACTACTTCTACTCGAGCAGGAGGAGCAGGAGGAGCAGACAAGCATGCATGATGCATCCATGCGTAACATCTGAACATTCATTCATTCACCCGCCAGAAGCTGCGGCTCCATCTCCACGACCTGGCGGACTTTATCCAACTCGTAACGAAATGAGAAAGCGAAAGGGGAATGCGATTCCGAGGCTGACATTCAAATGGGCACATTGAATAGGCGAAAACATTCGGAGAGTCCCGGCGCGAGTGATCGAATCCTGCAGACCCCCCACATGCGCAAGAGCCGCGAGCCTTTTCACCAGACCCGAGGCCCACAAGTAGTAAAATATTGCGGTGGTGGGGTGGGGAGGCGTTTGCGGTGCCAAATGGAGTTTATGAAGAAATGAACTGCAGAATGGTGGAGCCATGTCCCCCTCCTCTTGCGCCTTCCAAAGTTGAGATATAGTCATGATTCATTATTGCCCCGATTTCCAGTTTTAAATTGCTACAGGCAGATGCAGCAGCAGCAGCAGCCCAGCAGCCAGCTGCTGCTCCTCCTCCTTGCAATTGCTCCCTTGCTTCCTGGCCCGTCGCTGTTTTCTGGGGAGTGAGTGAGTGAGATCGATTAGCAGGACAAGAGCTAGAGCTAGAGCTAGAGCAGCTGCTGCCGCATTCACTGTGTGCCTTGCGGTCGTTGAGTTGTGGTGTGGTTGAACCTCGTGGGATTGGCGCAGTTCGGTGGGCATTGTCTCGTGCAGCGTTCAGTCGAGGCATCGGCATCTGTCCATCCGCCCGATGCCGCCGACGACCAAGAGCACGCTGCGAGAGAAAGCGAGGGCGAGGGCGAGATGATCGTTGCGCTCGCTGGTCGATCGATCGATGCTGGCGCGGGCGGCGCGAGGATTGCATTGTCGTATTATGCACGCGCCTGGTGCCGACAACAACGCCGTTTGAAGGTCAGCGCGCGCGGCCCTGCAGGCAGCATCTGGTGAGCAGGAGCAGGAGGAGGAGGAGGAGCAGCAGCAGCAGAAGTGAGGGAGGGGAGGATTGACTGACTGACACACTCACTCACTAACTCGCTCGCTCGCTCGCTCGCGCACACCCGAACGCAGAACGCAGGGCAGACTGTCACCCGGACCACGAGGCAGGCACGCAGAGAGGGAGGGAGGCAGGCAGAGAGAGTCTGGGGACGCAGGAATTGGGTGGGAAAAGGACGGACGAGCATGCGAGCCTCGGGACGGACGGGCGGGGGCGGCCGGGCAGGGGAGGGGGGCCAGTGTGGATTAGATTAGTTAGTCGGTGCCGTGATCTGCTTCCGTAAGCGGTCAATCTGTGATAGTCGTGCGTCCCGGTGCATTGAGAGGTTGCGGCAAGCTCGAGCTGCATTTGCCACGCATGCGCGGGACAATGTTGTGGCCGTCGTCCCGGCATCTCGTCGTCTTAATGAGAACACCGTTGCTATCGCCATGTTCTGCTGCTGCTGCTGCTGCACAGGAGCGGGGGCCTGGATGTGTAATTTTTATCCGCGCGGATTAGTTCCCACTTTGAGCAAGAGAAATGCGAGGACATAGCCCGCTCGCTCGCCAGCAACGGAATAAGCACTTTGGCTCCTCAGGTCGACACAATCTCCTTTCGCTCGTAAGAACTACTCGGGGCCTCATGCATTTCCGCACCTGGGGTAGGATGAAATTAGCGAGTTCTTCTCGTCTGCGCTTGTTCTGAAATCTCCTCCCCCGTACGAATCCGTCTGTCCTCGTCAGCTCCGCCATCCCTCTGAGATTCAGTCCTTCCCCTGCTGGCACTCGCCTGTTGTTGTTGCTGCCGTCGAGTACAGTCTGATCATTGCTTGGCCAGAAACGATGTGATCTGATTATGACCATGTCGCTGCCTTATCGTCGTCGTCTGTGCAGCTCTCGTCGTCTCCGTGCGTCGTACGAAGAATAGCAATGTAGCAGAGGAAGTGGCTCTCGTGGGGATTTCATGAAGATATGGGTCTGAAGAGCGCCGGTTCAATCCTGCATCAACGAGGACGCGGAAGCAGCAGCAGAGGACGAGGACAGGGCGAATAAAATTCTCAGAGCCCCTCCCTCGCGTGGACGGAGGAGGTCGGTGAAAGAACATGACAGGTGGGCTACGACATAGGAGACAGATTTGGGGCAGCCAGTGGGGGAGGATCACAATACTTCTGCTGGGCGTGGTGGCATTGCAGAGCGCACGGGTCGAGGCGTTCGTCAATGCTGAGGGGATTGCGCTCTACGGCTTCAGGTATGCGATCACCGAGGATCCGAAGGGCATTTTTGACGACTGGAACACCATGGACTCGACGCCGTGCAATTGGACGGGAGTGACCTGCGATGCGGACGGCCGAGTGTCGAGGCTCATTCTGAACGACGCGGGGCTGGCGGGCTCGCTCGCCACGAGCTTGCAGCACCTGGCCCGCCTGAGGACCATCTCGCTCACGCACAACAATCTGCAGGGCACCATTCCGCCGCAGTTCGCCGAGATCAGCACGCTCTACAAGCTCAACCTCAGCGGCAACGCCCTGTCGGGCCCCATTCCCGGCCAGCTCGGGCGAATTGGCGGCATGCGCCTGTTTGATCTGTCGGGCAATGCGCTCTCGGGCTCGCTTCCGGCCGAGCTCTTCTCCAACTGCCAGAGGCTGCGCTACATCTCGCTGGCCCAGAACCGCTTCACCGGCGCCATCCCCTCGAGCCTGGCCAATTGCGCCAACCTGGAGGGCATCGATTTCTCGCACAACAACTTGCAGGGCTCCATTCCCGCCGAGCTCGGCCAGCTGCCGACTTTGTTCATCTTGAACCTGGAGCAGAATTTCCTGTCCGGGAGAATTCCCGCAGCGCTGGGCAACTGCACGGCCCTGACGTACCTGAATCTCGGGGCCAACTCGCTCTCGGAGGATCTGCCTCCGCAGCTGTCCGCATTGACCAACCTCGTCACTCTGTCATTGCACGACAATTTCCTGTCGGGGAGCGTCGGCTCAGATTTGGTGTTCCTGCCCGTCGCGCAGGCGGTGAATCTGTCGAGCAACAGCTTCTCCGGATCGATGCCGGCTCCTGGTGGCCGAAATTGCACCGCGCTCCGAGCCCTGGACCTGTCCGACAACAATTTCACGGGCGTGATCCCCCCGGATCTCAGCCAATGCTCGCAGCTGCGCGCTCTGAATCTCTCGTCCAACGCCCTGGTGTCCGCCATACCCGCATCCCTGAGCGCTCTGGCGGGAATGCAAACTCTGGACCTCAGCTTCAACGCTCTGACCGGCGCCATGCCCCCGGAGCTCGGGCTGCTCGCAGCGCTCACGGCCCTGCATCTCCAAGGCAACGCCATCTCGGGCCCCATCCCCCCGGAGATTGGGTTGCTCTCGCACCTGCAGGTGCTCGATCTTCACAGCATGCACCTCGAGGGATCGTTGCCGGATGCGGTCACGGATTGCACCTCGCTCTCGCTGCTGTAAGCACTCTCGCCACTCTCCTCCTCTCGTAGCGACTCTGCATCTTGATGGAAATGCTGCTGCTGCTGTGGCGGGCTCGGGGCAGAGTCCGCGATCCCCTCGTCCCGCCATATCCCCCGACCCACATTTCTATTCTAAGAGTGCTGGCTGGCTGGCTGTGGCTGCTGCGCAGGGACGTATCCGACAACGAGCTGACGGGGCAGATCCCGGAGCGCATGAGCGCGCTGGCCGACCTCGAGGTGCTGAACCTGGCGGTGAACGATTTGGGCGGCAGCATCGCGGCGGAGCTCGGCAACCTGACCAAGCTGCGCAGCCTGGACCTGTCCAACAATTCGCTCGAGGGCGCCATCCCCGCGACGCTGGGCGCATTGGAGGCGCTGCGCTTCCTGAACGCCTCGTTCAACCACCTGTCGGGGCCGATTCCGCGCAACGGAGCGCTGGGGCGCTTCAACATGAGCTCGTTCCTGGGCAATCCGCTGCTCTGCGGGGCGCCGCTGGGCGCGCCCTGCCGGGCGCTGGCGCCGGAGGGCGATGGCGATGGCGCTGGCGCTGGCTCGGGCGCCACGGGCAGCGCGGGGAGCCGCGGGACGCGGCTGCTGAGCTCGTCGTCGATCATCGCCATCGCCGCGGCGGCCTTCATCGCGCTGGGAGTGGTGGCGGTGACCATCATGAATGTGCGGGCCATCCGCAAGCGGCGCGAGGGCGACGTGCTGGTGTACGAGAGCTCGCCGCCGTCGCCCGACGTGAGCCCGATTGTGGGCAAGCTCGTGCTCTTCAGCAAGGACCTGCCGTCGCGCTACGAGGATTGGAAGACGGGCACCAAAGCGCTGCTGGACCGCGAGTGCATGATCGGGCGCGGCACGCTGGGCTCGGTGTACAAGGCCACATTCGAGGGTGGGCTGTCGATCGCCGTGAAGAAGCTCGAGACGCTCGGGCGCATCAAGAATCAGGACGACTTCGAGCAGGAGATGGGGCTGCTGGGCAATCTCAAGCACCCGAACCTGGTGCCGCTGCAAGGCTACTACTGGTCGTCGGCCATGCAGCTGCTCCTGTCGGATTTCGTGGCCAACGGGAGCTTGTACAGCCACCTGCACCAGAGCAGCGGCGCCGTCACGAGCCTCAGCTGGGCGCTGCGCTTCAACATTGCGCTGGGCACGGCCAAGGGGCTGGCGTACCTGCACCACGACTGCCGGCCGCCCGTGTTCCACTTCGACCTCAAGGTGTCCAACATTTTGCTCGACGCCGAATTCGAGCCGCGCGTCTCGGACTATGGCTTCGTCAAGCTGCTGCCGATGCTGGACACGTACATCTCGAGCCGCAAGTTCCACACGACGCTGGGCTACGTTGCGCCCGAGCTCGCCTGCCAGAGCCTGCGGCTCACCGAGAAGTGCGACGTGTACAGCTTCGGCATGGTGCTGCTGGAGCTGGTGACGGGCCGGCAGCCCGTCGAGAGCTTCGAGAACAGCGTGATTGTGCTGGGCGAGTTCGTCCGCAGCTCGCTCGAGCAGGGCAACGTGAGCAGCTGCGTCGATCCCCGGCTCGACGCCGTGCCCGAGAGCGAGATCATGCAGGCGCTCAAGCTCGGCCTCATCTGCACCTCCCAGACGCCCTCCAAGCGCCCCACCATGGCCGAGGTCGTGCAGGTGCTGGAGTCGATCAAGACCTCCAGCACTTCCTCGGAGGCTGCCTCCTCCCCGTAGCTGCTCCGAGCATCCGCTCCCTCTTCTTCTTCTTCTTCATCTCCATCGAAGTCATCGAAGCCACGGATGGTTTTCGGTCAGGAGATTCTGATAAAGTTCTATACGGAGAACAGGAAGACGAGCTTGCAGTGCAGTGCAATGCAATGGCGCTCTCCATTTTTTTGGGCTCCGTTTACGGCGTGGATGAGCCTTATGATCATCACAGCAGCCACCACTACCACTACCACCATCTTGTAATTGTACAACATGTCATACACAAACCCTTGGACGGTTTCAAGCTGCAGATTGGGCAAAGAAACAAAGGCCTTGAAGCCTGGCAGAAAGGAGAAGCCACCATCTTATCTTCTTCGTCCTTTCAGGGCCTTTCTTTCTTTGACAAGTAGGTTTGCATCAGCTTGCTGTACATTTATATGGGCCATCCAATTCGATGGCTTTCTCTCAGTTCAGTTCTCATGGCTCGCCACCGCCACTACCACCACCACCATCACCACTTCGAACCTGCGAGCTCGCGAAAATAAATCCAACCTCTGTTCGAGTGAGTGGGTGGGTGGGACGGTTTTGAGAACGCTGGATACGTTCTGTGTTACGGGTTTGTCAAAGCTCTGGCAGGGAATCATAGCTCGAGGTTGTTGTTGTGGTAGCTTTCGTGGTCACTCGTCTCCTCCTCCGCATCGCCAGCCAGCCAGCCAGCCAGCCTCGCCTGGCTCTCCGGAGCTCTCACTCACCAGCTGCTCTGCTCTCTGCTGGGCCTGCTGGCGATGGTGATGGTGGACTTCATCCATCAGGGAGGAAGAAAGAAGCGGCAGCGATGCATGCGCCCATGGCAATTCTTAGAAGCTTCCGCCTCGTTGGAGATTAGATTTTTAGAGTGACAGTTCCAGATATTGAAGAAGACCCTTTCAGGGGTTCTCATTCTTTGACAAGTAGTAGTGTGTACCAGCTCCTTGTACATTGAGGGCCGTCTCAACTGACGGCCCGAGTCTCGCACCTCTTGGATCTCGCAGCACTGAACCCGGAGCTCTTCCAAGTAGGTTCCGAGAGCGCTAGCTAGATACACAGACAGACAGGCGCTATGAACGTTTTCGCTTAGCTCTTAGCTTTTATACAGAAGAAAATGAAGTCTCTTCCGATCCGGTCTCTGGGCTCTGTCATGAATGTCTTGCGACATATAATTCAGAAGGAAGTGGCTGCTGCCTAGCAGAGGAGGGATTAGTAGATTGCTTGCACATTTCCTCTGCTCCACGACATGTTAATTTTCTCCCCTTGAGACGATCAGAAAGAAAGACTTCGAATAAATCACTGAGACCTTCTATAGACAGGAAGTCCGGTCTGGTCTCAGCTTGCTGTAATCCATGCACAATTCTGTACAGAGCCTGTCGATATCATCGATCAAGCCAACGAACATCGGAAGGCCGATCATGTGTCGTACCGGGAGGATACAGCGAGATTCCACTTCTCGAAGCATTATCGGCCATTCCCTGTCGACCTCAAGTCTGAACCTGACGGTTACACTACAGTGCATGTTTCTCGAGAACGCTGGAGTTATGATCGGGTCGGACTATCGGCTTTTAAATTAGCCGATATTGGCCGATCTGCTGTCATTCGAGCCTCTCCCAAATATGGTCTGGGGTTGAGAAATTGTATGACATGGTGTACCACCAAAGGGAATGAATAATTTACGCTCTTCACTTATTGCAGCGCATTTGGGAACCCAGCGAGATATCAGTTATTATTACATTGTCGTCACTCCAATAATATTTTCTCACCATGAGTCTCACGTTTCTCGTGTATCATTCTAAATGCCAGTGACTATTTTAATCCACAAATGCCACCATCGCAGATTCCCAAACGCACAGCCCCGCAGTGATAATGCCCGCGCAGCAGCTCGTTATTCAGCTCACTTGTGATGTGACTGTTATCTGGATCCAACAAGGCACGCAGTCGATGTGTCTGTCGTTCTTCAGTCGCCCACGGCCATGGGCTGCCCCGGACAAGATCCGAGTCGACGAGATAACGACAGGAAGGCTTGTTTCGTGATGCCCCTCCGCTCTCCCTCTCTCTCTCTCGGAGGTGAATGGTGGTGTTGGAATTCGAGATCCTAGCGTCAGCTTTTTGTAGATTCTTGACCGTTATCGGCTCTGTCATCAAGGTCGGATGACAATCTTTCAGGGGGCCGGAGAGCAGGGGCTTTCACATTGTGCGCATGTACACACCCACCTACCTGACCTTCCGAATCCTGGTTTGACTTTTACCGACAAGCTTCGGCCCCATCTCGAAGTTAGCATGCCATTTCGCTTTGCTAATCTCCTCGCTAGTCCGCAGAAACGATCTACAAGCCCTGTTGATTGTCAATCGAGCTCGAGCTCGGGCTTCAGCTTACTGTACATGCTACCACTGAGCTCTGCTGCATCAGCCCACTCCGGCCCGGCCCAGCCCAGCCCACCACACAGGCTTGTTCACTTGCTGCTCGTTCCTCTCTCCCAGAGCCCACCACTGCTCATGGTATGTTTCGTTGCGCCATCCAGTCCCCCTACTGGCCTAGCTCCCACGTTTCGCCTGGCCCACTCGTGCGTGCAGCCATAGATAGCCATCATCGGATCGGGCTTCCCGCCATCCCAGCTCGGCCTTTCATCGCATTGGGGCTCCACTTGCGCTGTACTTTCATGAGAGAGAGACACACAGAGACACAGGGCCCCTTAAGAGACGGAGCTGGCAGGGGGCCTGGCCTGAGCATGCATGCGGACGGAGTCTTCCTCAGGCGCTTCATGTGTGAGTGAATGAGTGAATCTACGTTGTGAGCATCCAACGCAATCCAAGAACCGAGGTCCTTCACCGCCGTGTGATAGATTCATGCTGGGATCTCATATCGCTCGGATGTTTGACTCGAAGCCGAGTCTCTGGTGCCCTCGGAAAATTGTCCTCCTCAAGATCTTCTTGGAGGAGGGAGAGCTCGAGAGCCGAATCTACCTCGGGTCAAACTGCACCACAGTCTAAAGCATGTTCACGTGTAGATTCCAGACCTGTGCTGCAACTTTGGATAGATTTGGATTCGGAACACTTCTTATTTTTCTTTTCCCGTTGGATGAGGTCCCGACGTTTCGCACACCAACATTTCTCGACATCTTTTGAAGTGCGTTGTCAGAGCAAGGAAGGGCTTCGATCGAAGTCAGTCATTCTAGATTGAAAGACAGATGTGTGAGCAGTTCAGCAAAAAAATTTGAACAAGTGAATGATGTAACTAGGGGGGATTTCTAAACTCCGGTCGAAACGTCGAACCGATGGATGTTGTCTCTTACAAACATGTTCAACAAACTGTCCCCTCTCGGAATGTTGTACAAAGTATTTCCTTAGCGTGTCTGGCTGCTCAGCTATCTTTGAGCTCCAAGAGCAAACAAGTCGAAGGAGTGCAACACGATGTCTAGTAATCTAAAGCACTTTCAACCCTGCGCGAAGGATAACTAAAACCGAGCGGATATTGTCATTCTGCACCTACGTGTAATCTAGGTGGGATATTCTCAGTGTTATGTTGATAGAATAAGCTGATTATAATAAGAGCATTAAAAAACCAAAATTTTAATTGTTTCTCATCGAGATACACTTTAGCCACCAATGTAGTACATGACAGTTATGAGACTAGAATTCTCGTAATTGATTAAAAGAGATTTCTAATCTCCTTTGGAAGTTTGAGCCAGCTTAACATTTACTTTTACTGTATCTGAACTGGTTTTAATTGCAAAGATGCACTAACATGGACACGGGATTCACATTGAACTATGACTTTTCAACTAGCAACAGTTACGTTTACAACAGCGATGAGGATACGCCTAACTTTGCTCCAACCCTTCACATATTCATCTATTTCTCAGGTGTGACTGACATAGTGTCCTAGATTCAACATCTATTCACTTGACTCGATATGCATTTGGAATACAGAGGATAGCTACCGACAACGCAAAGGCATTCTCGGCTGAGAGTTTTGACGATATTCTTGTGTTGTTTTTGACGTCGTGTGAACAGGTATATATCAGATGAAGAGAACTTTAGATTGTGTTGCAGGCAACCAGGGTGAAGAAAAGATGTATAATATTTCACCCTAGTTCATGAGTTGGTTCAAGAGTGCCAAGTTATGGTTGCAGATGTGATGGTTAACTATCCAACACGTGACAAAGTTTATCAGAGGATGATTTCTTAAATTTCTAGATAAGAGTCAAGTATAACAGACGCAGGCAAGGTTTCCAAATATAAGAGTTGGCAAACATGTCACCTCTTTAATCCAAAGAAATGGAATTATGGATATAAATACAAATACAAATTTTGATGTTTGTAAAAGAATGAGCAAAAGTTTGTTATATCATGAGAAGAGATATGTAGAATATTTTTACTTTTTTGTAGCTTAATTTTAGACAGCGTGATAGATATATATATATATTCTACAATGAGCATTGACCATCTATGTATACAAGAGTACCATCATATTATGTGATGCGGCGTCACGTGTTTTTTTTTGGTTGGTATCATTTGATTTTTATAGTTTGAATATGATGGATTTTGTAGACATATGTTTCAACTTTATACTATCAAGGATTACATGTGATCTAACCTCAGTTTTACACCTTGATTATATGGAATTTTTTCATACATCTCTTTTCTCTATGTTCTTTTCTTCTTCTTGAGGATTTAATCATATTGTGAATACCATAGCTATTGTTGTGTTGAAATATAAAAACGTATGATCTAAAATAGGTTAAAAAAAGGACCAAAAATTGATGCTTGCTATCATAACGTAATCTAGGCGTACTTGAAAAAAATAGAGAAATCACTGTTCAAAGCTCAATGCAACTCTAAATTAGTAAAGATTTTGATGTCTAGTCGTATGAATATACTTGAAGTCCTTGTCTACTTTTGTTCCTTCTACTACCCATCCAAAGTAAGGGTATTTTACATGTAAGATCTTTTGCCTGAAGGTCTGCAACATTAACATGATACTCCCCGATCCAGATATATAATATGGATTAAGTGCAAAATGGTGATTTCTTTCTAGCTGTTCAGAAGCTAGTGCCATAGATAGTGGAACTTTGGTTAGCTAAACTCATGAGTGATTAGTGGAATTTTGGTTAGCTAAACTCATGAGTGATTAGTAGCTTTTAATCGGTCAGAAATAATAAAAGATTCATCGACTAAGCGCAACAAGAAAAACTTCTGGATTCCAGTAGCACACTTTCTCGAATCAGAAAGGAGAAAGGAACCAAAAGATCACATTTACACACGGGCATCCTTGACCTGCCTTTCTCTTTTCATGATGTTGAGGATGGAACCAATTTATCACAAGCCGAAGAATGCATCGAATGCATTCTAGTCGAAAGACATGACCGTCTTCATACTGATGATGTACGTACCGGCACAACACGTACTGCAGTGTACTAGAGCATCCATTGCCTTCCCCTTCACAATCTTCGTAGAGACGATCACCTCTTGAGCATCTCCAGGACTTGAACCTACTGTAGAAGTTCTGCAAGTGTGTATATAGCATTGTGCTCCAACCACTCCCTTCATTGACTCTGCTTTTTAGTTACCGTACCTCAAAAGCTGGAGTAAATTGGCGATCTGTTGGAAAAGTTGTAATTCTGTGTTGGTTGTCCTGAATCCAGATATTTGGAGATACCCACTCATAGTGGTCAATCGTCAAGCTGGTACTTGCTTCAATGTGGGACATGAAAATTCGCTATTCGATGTTCCAGATATTACTTCATGATGTTGATGTTGGGTGGATGATCCCATGGACTTGAATATCGGAATGTTGTAAAACCAAAAATTTTGTCGACAAGAGTGGGACGATATGATTGATCGATGTGTTAAGTTTCAAAAAAACGTACGACAAAGAGAGGAAGAGCTATTACAATGTGCAAGGACAAGGACAAGATGAATGATCTCATGACTGTCTTTCAAACTGACCTACGTACTCCAAAATAAAAGGCCATGAACCGTTTATTATCTCCGCCATACGACAGATATATATCCAACCCCAAGAAGTTTGTAGTATTGTGTTCGGTTTTAAACTTGGGACAAGAAAAGCATCTGCTTCATGAGTATCCGTGAAATTATGATTGTAGCAGATTTGGTTCCCATGTATGTCGCCAACACTCCGCTTGCTTGGACGCTGCGATGAATATGTCACATTGGCAAAAGTTACATCTCTACCCACCATTCAATCCTCACAGTCAAAGAAACATTTAGTGGGAAGACATGCGTAAAGATCACACTTTATCTATTACCAGTTCGAATCTTTGAGTGCAGCGTGCAGTGAAAATATGCAAGTGTAATGTAAGACTAATGCAGTGTAAATATGCAAGTAACCTTCACTTATGATAATAAAGGATTTTCTGTATATTTTATCAATATATAGATTTGAGTAGAATGTGTTCAATTTCGCTATTTTCCTCTATGCGTTTGATGAAGTTTTGAAGAATCATGCAACCGTACGCTTCTTTCCATGAGCGCTTGAAATTGAACCTCGATATTTTCAATTTGAATTGCTTCCTGAGAGGAGCGGAAAATTGTCTGCAGGGATTGGATGGTCGCTGCTGTATATTATAAAGGGCGGCGAATGGAGTACCATAGAAGACGGTACTGTATCTGTATATTATATGCGTACAATATTCTACACTCTAGCCTGTACTGGAGGCAAACAACTCGGTCAG